TGCCTTCCTCCCTGATGGAGAGCATGTCCTCGTGGCACTGCCTAAATCCTGCTTAGCATGGACTTGAAATCCTGGCTGCAGTTCTGGCAGCTCCTGCCCAAAGGAGCGCTGGAGTGGAGCTGCAAGAGGTCGGGGAAGGGCGGAAAGGAAGCTGGGACAGGCTGAGCGAGCTGGGCAAGAGCAGCATCAAGGGGGGAAGCAGCAAAGGTCTGCAGCATGCCGAGGGGCAGAGAGAGAGGGGCAGCCTGTGCCTGCCCCTGCAGCAGGGGTCCAGATCTGGTCTGAAAAGCAAACCGAGAGAGGGAGTGAGTGACCCTTTTTCTCCCTGTTTTGGCAGCATGAACGGGAATTGAACCAGCAGCAAATGAGAGATGTGAAAAGGAAGAATGAAATGTGTGCACCTGAGATGAGAAATCATAAAGAAAATACTCAAGAATTGGAAGTGGAGAGGGAAGACATGCAGGAAGAGTTGGAGCACGGGGCTACTGCTTTGAAGAAAGGGAGGGAGTACACTCAAGTACTGACTGCTGCCCTGAACAAGAGTGAAATTGCCCAAGGGTCTCTGAAGAAGCACTTGGACATCCTGAAGGGAGAGTCTGGTATCCAGGGAGGCACTGGCATTGACCTTCAGTCCACTCCAGAGTCCCTGAGCTATTCCAGTGCTTCTTCCCATGAAGAGGTGGGTCTCTATCCCTGTCAGTCCAGGGCTGCGTGGGTAAAGCAGCCCGGGCTGCAGCAGGCAGCCTTGTCTGTCTGCCTGGCTCCAGCCAGAGACCACTGACTGCCAGATTGTTTCCTGGCTCGCCCAGAATGACTGATCCAGCTCTGGAGCTTGCTGTTCAAATCAGCTCCAGGCCATAAGCAGGGCATGGGGAGCTGCTTCTCCTGTGCCCATGCAACACATGGGGGTTTGGATTTGGTGTGGGAAGAAATGGAGCAGGTGAGCAGAGGAATGGGCAAAACTGAGCAGAGGTTTGGAGCAAGGGCTGAAAAGCAGCTACACTCCTGGTGCTCAGAGTAATTGGTATTGGCACTTGTGGAAGATGCAGTGGTTTTGGGTGACAACACGGAGGTTGGAGGAGGGATGTGTGTTGGGAAGGAGCTGTCTGGTCCCAGGCAGGGCAGCAGGGCCTGACACAGCACTTCCAAGGTAACAGTGCCAGAGGCTTTTGGCAGCCCAGGCTATCAGAGCTGCCCAGGACAGGTGCTGTGAAACTTTGAGCCCAGAGCACAGGTGCTCCGTGTCCTCTGGCTGCCTGCGAGGTGCCACTGGCTGGCTCTGCACAGGGCTCCTGAGGAAGGGCTCGAGCTGTACCTTGTCCCACTTGCAGCTCTCCCAGGAGCAAGATTCGTCCAGCTGGTCTCTGGAGCAGCTGAGCCAGGACTCCTCTGAGGAATCCTTTGGCCAAGGGCACGCACTGGCCCAGGTGTGCCGAGAGGAGGAGCTGCTGGCCCAGAAGGCTGACCTTGAGGGCCGACTGGCAGCCACGGAGTGGCTCCGACAAGACCTTTCCAGGCAGCTGGCAGAGACCAGGTAAGGGCAGGCAGCAGAGCTTTTTCAGATGCTTTTACAGTCCATGGACACAATATGGAAGCGTCTCAAGAACAAGAATATGCCACAATGTGAAGGTTATTCTGACACCTAAAGCCAGCAAAGCTCTCTCGAGCCTTGGGCTCCTGTTTGTGCCGCTGAGCACACTCCTGTGGGAAGCCCAGAGCAATCCACCCAGCCCTGAACTGAGTAGTACTTAAACCATGCAGATGCTGAGTGAAACCACAAGTTTCTCTGGGGTTTGGTTCCTTGTTCTGGGCATTGAACACCCCTCGTTCCTTACCAAGTAGCTTGATATGATCCTGATGGTCAGGACTGAAGCTTCGCCTTCAGCATTCCAGGCTCTTTCCTTGGCACGTTGGGAGTAGCAGGCTGCCATTCAGGGGGAAGCCAGAGGCTCCTGCTGAAAACCCTGGGGGCTTTCAGCTTCCAAGCACACGCTTGAGAAATGTGGGACAGGCCCTAGAGCTGGTTAGAGCGCAGCAGGGAAAGCTCTTTGGAATTCTCAACAGCCTGGCTGATTGTTGATGGGCACCCAGCTGCCAAACCTGCCAAGGTCCCTTTGGATGGTCCCTCTCACTCTGTAAAGAAGGACAAGTCCCTTGGGCTACTGCCTGCTTGGCCAGCAACACTAAAATAAAGGTGGCAAGTCTGCTCCATGACCTTGCAAGAGTTTAAACTGCAGTCTCTGCATTCAGGTGCTTGTTGTTCAGACAAAAGGGTGTTGTGATTTTTTACAAGTGCTGCTATGACCATGAGAATTTACTGTGCCATGCAAAGTCATTCTGAAGTCTCCTAAATACAGGGTGTGTGGAAGATGATGTACCTTTGTGTCCATTATCAAAAGCATTAAAAAGTCAGCAGTCAGCCAGGACAAGAGTGTGTTGTGTCCCCCTGCAGAGCAGCTTGGAAGTGCTGATGAGAGGAGGGCTGTGAGCAGGGGCTGGGCTTTTGCTCGTCGCTCCAGCCTGTTTGGACACAGCTACCCCGTGTCCTAGGTCAGGATCAGCAACTGAAGGTTTGGCTGTTGAGGCCAAGTTGGGCTGGGCTGTCTGTGCTATGCCAGGCCATAGGGAAGGCCTGGGCAGTCACTCTGAGGGCCCGGCTCTGCTGTTGACATGGCACAAATGTGCCTTGTCTGGGCGAGTTTCCACGTCACTCATTTCCCATACTCAGGTGTGAGGATCTTGAGCCTCATTGTCCTGGAATAACCGGCTGTGGGAGTCTGGGGCAAGCAACTCATGTCTCTCTGTGTGTGCAACTTGTAGGTCAGCAAAGGAGAGCCTGGAATCCAGGCTGTGTGCTGCTCAGCAGCAGATATCTCAGCTGGAGGTGACCAGGGAACATCTGAAGGCAGAGCTGCAAGCTGAGCTGCAGGCAGCTCGCAGTGAAGTCCAGACAGCGCAGAGGAGGCACGAGGAAGAGCTACAAGGCCTCAAAGAGGAAATGAATCTCCTCCTTGAGCAGAGGGAGGCTTTCCAAAAGCAGGTGAGTGAAACAGCAGTGGCACTGCAGCCGTGCAGGGAGGGGTCTGTGGCCTTCTTGCTTTTCCATGGCAGAGCAGCAGCTGATGGGGTGATCCCTGGGGCTGTCTCAGGCTCTGGGGGCTCCGTGGCAGCTGCTCTTCAGGACGCCCAAAGCTCTGCTGAATCTCAGCTGCTGCTCTGGACAGCAGGGCTAGTCCTCTGGGCTGTTGGCCAGCAAGCATCAGCAAGGATTCCTGCTGGCCTCTCCTTGCTAGCCTTGGTGTGGGAGGTGCTTTTTCAGGTGCCCTTGGTGGTGGGCCACTTGGAGACTGCAACAAGTTGTCCATATCCAGTGTGAATCTGGTGCTCTCAGGACAGGGAGAAATGGAAAGTTGTCCTTTGCCTTTCCTCACAGCCTGTGCTGTGGCTGACAGTGACAAGCTGTGGCTGTAGCCTCTGACTGCTTTGTTCTGTTTGACTGGAGGTGGGAGAGTTGACATCTCAGCTGGCAGCCTCCCGAGAGTCCCAGGAAATGACTGTCCAGAGAGCCCAGCAAGATGTGAGGGAGGCCCAGGAAGAGTCCAGGCAGAAGCAGTTGGAGGTTGAGCACACCCAGAAGATGCTGGAGGAGGCAAAACAACAGAACAAGGAGCTGCAAGTGCATCTGCAGAACTTGGAGAGGGAATGGAGTCGATGGGAAGAAGTGGCTCAGCACAATTCAGAATTGCAGGCTTCTGTGCATACTCTAGAGAAGGAAAAAGCCAGGTAAATGAAAGCCTGTGGGACTCTGCATTGTGGTGAATGGATTCCCTCTTTGCCATCCTTGCACCTGCCAGGGCCTCTGGCAGCATTTCTTAAGTGGCAGATTCTGAACTCTGGGTGCAGACACTTCTCATGGTCTGCATGTGTCATGGTTTGACGCCCCATGAAAATGCAACCTACCAATCAAATGCTGTGAAATGCGATCGAGAGCAGAGCAAAGCAGGCCAAACTTAATAACAAAGGAAAGACTTTATTACACTACTGCTAATAATATAAAGGGGAAGAAAAAGAAAAAAAACCACACAAACTTCAAAATGAAAACCTTCCAAAACACTCCTCCTCCCACCACCCAACTCCAACCAACCACAGCGAGACCCATTTAGATCCTTAATCCAGTTTTCACCCTTCAATATAATCAATACTGAATCCATCGGGGAAGAGAGGAGTCCCCCTTGCACCACAGACCCCCAGGAAACACAGCTGCCACCTCTTGTGTTTCCATGTCACACGTGGCACTGCCCAGACCCACCGGCCAGTGCGACACTCTCCTCTCCATGTCACAGTGCTCTCACCACCGTGCATGGACAGAGACTGCTTATAGGGCCCCTTTAAGGATGCTTTGCCAAGGACCACCAGGAACAACAGTCCAGTATCGCATTTCGGGACTAGAGTCCCCCCCATTTTCCCCTGGGGCCGAGGGTCCAAGGTCAGAGATCGCCTTCTCTTCTTCTCTGAAGACGGAGGGCATCCTCACACCCTCCTCAGCTCTCTCTGTCCATTCCAGAACTGGTAGTTGCTGAAGAAGGTCTCTTGGCTCACCAGTGCATCCCCCTAAAATGCAGTCCCTCTTGAAAGAAGGAGTGGTTCAGTCTATGGTAAACAAGCAGAGTCCAGCCAAAAGGCACTCCATCATCTCCCCCCAACCTTCTTCTCTGAACATCTGAGGTCCCAGGCTGTCTCTCTTTCCTTCAAATTGAGGAGGAGTAATATTTCATAAAGCCTTCATTTCCCAGGAAAGGGTTAAAATTCCTGGACTCCCCGGATGGCTGAAATCTCAGCCCAGGACTCCTTCTCCTGTCTCCCACGCTGGGCATCTTCCCCCCCTTCTCCTTCTCCTCTGTCGGCAAACTCCCAGGTGTCTGCTGGCTCTCTATCTCTTTTCCCTCTAGCTTAGGGGAGGGGGAACAAAGACATCCCAGATGTTCTCCACCCTTCCGTCCGCAGGAGCTGGCCCAGCTCGGTTCCGATCCTTCACCCCCTGGCCTACCTCTGCAGGCCGCATGGCTCCCCTCCCCCAGCCAGCCTGGGCTGGGGAGAGGTCCGTACCTTGCGATGACCGGAACCAAAGGAGAGTGAGTCCTCCTGGGAATTCCGCCTTTAACCCCTCTGTGTTCTCAGAGGCGTGTCCACCTTCAATTGGTCACCCCAAGTGTCAGTATCCAAACCTGACCCCTGACTGTGACCTCTTCCTTCCAAAAAAAAATTCTCTTCCCGTGTCAAACCATGAGAGGATGTTGTCTTTCATTTTCTTTCCTTTTAAGCCTTCAGCTAGAGTTTTTCTGCAGTCAAAGTCTTTTGGGGTAGTCCTTTGCCTCTAGGGGGTATTGTGTTGTTAGGTGGGTGTGTTGAAGCTGCCCGAGCTGCATTGTAAGGAGCTGGATCCATCCATCAGCCCCACCTTGGGTCTTGTACCTTGAAGCCTTTGGGATGTGGATCAGCCTGGCTTCTGATGCTCTTTCTGGGCAGAACCATCTTAAGGCCCTGCTTGCTGATCTAGGCCAGATTGCCCTCAGAGGCAGCCCAGAAACAAGAATGCCTCTGTGGCATCGTTCCTCATAAAATGTGTCCTGGGGCCTGGAGGGGGTCAAGCAGGCTCCCTGCCACCCTGCACAGTCACAGGCATTACTGACTGTGCAAAGAATGCAGAAACAGGACCAGGGGATGGGGGGCTCCTCCAGCTGATCGAGTCCTGCCAGTCTTCAGTGCCACAGGATTCTTCTTCCAAACCAAAGACAAAGGAGAGGCAGGGCACTCCTGCTTGCCTGGAGCCTTCTGCATCTGCCATCAGGTTTTGCTCCAAGCCTTGGCTGCCACTTGGGCCTCTGTTTCTCCAGCTGAAAGTAGGATGGGTGCTGGTAAACCTTAGGGAACTCGCCAGAGATCCCCTGGCTGTAGGCTGCTGCTCCTCCTACCGGGACGTAGAAGATTGGGGAAGGAAATGTCTCTTCCATGTTGACCAAACCTCCCTGCCTTGGAGCCTGGTTAGTCAGAAGAAAATTGTTCCTCTCCTCTAAAGTCTTCATTGCAAGACTTCATTAGCTTTGTATTCACATTCCCATCTCAAAAAGAAGGTAGGGCATGTAGGCAGGACTCCCTGTTCTTTCAGGAGCAAAAGCAGAGTCGGCACATGTTGGGCTGTGACTGCAGGGGGAACAAACAGCCAAGTTGTTTAGACAAACCTCATCAGACAGAGGAGTTTTTCCCTGAGGTGCTGCAAGTCCTAAGAGCTTATAGAATGTGATATCATATAGTAATGAGTTGCTTGCTTCCCTTCTAGGCTGCTTGTGTCTCTGGAGGAGAAGAACCAGTGCTTCCGAAAACTGGAAGAACAGAACCTGGTGCTGAAAAATCGTGTGTCTCGCTTATTTTCTGCTCTTAAGCAGGCAGAGCAGCTCTGTTCTGAGCATAGGAGACAAATGCAGGAGCTCAACACCCAGGTAAGCTGTGCAGTGGCATCCTCTTCTCCAGGGACACACAGCAGCACCTTTGGCTTGGAGGCCCCAACCTCTTTCCCCTCCCGGCAGCATCCACAGCTGCCGTGTTCTGCCCGGGGCTGCTGCGGCACCCTGAGGCCCAGGCTGGATCTGGTGTCTGCTGCCGAAGTTTTGCACCGTTCTCTCCCGGCTCCCAGCAGGACATCTGGGAGAGGAAGCAGCAGCAGCCTCCTCTGGAGCTTCTCCGTCCCTCTGTTAGCAGTGTTGTCCCAGACAGAGTTGGTGCCTGTGCCAGCACTGAGCAATGTGGGGACACAGAGGTGGCTGTGGCAGGCTGGGCAGGGCACTTCCAGCGCAGCCATCTCAGCTGCTGTTCAGAGCTGCAGCCTCAAGGATGCCCATTGCCTCCCTTTCCCTCTTTTCTCTACATTTGTCTCCATTGGAATCCTTGCTTCTGTGCCTTCTGGTTTTGGCATGGTTTTTGCCTGAAATAATTTCTCCTTTGTTCCTCTCCCTACTGTGCACTCTGCGGCCTCAGGAGCAGCCCTGTCCCTGAGGCTCTGTGCATCCTTCTTCCAGATGCAGGCCATGCTGCTGGCAGAGATAGAGAAGACAGCTCAGCAGGCAACTGAAGAGAAGCAGCTGCTGGAAACTGAGGTGTCTGAGCTGCGTGTGAGGCTCCAGAGCTCTGAGGAAAGAGCAGAGGCCATGGCCACACAGTGTAAGGCCATGGAGCTGGGGCTGAGGAAGACACAGGCTCAGAGGGACAATCTCAGAGCCTACAATCAGGAGCTGCTGAAACAGCTGGAGCACATTGAGCAAGGTACAGCTTCTCCTCCCCCAGCCACTGCCCCACCCTGTCCCACCTGCAAGGATCTTGCTGATGCCTTGCAGAGGAAAAGTGCCCAGAGATGGCAAAGGGGAAAAACAGCCAGCAGGAAATTTATCCATCCAAGTGCCAGTGAAAGCTTTTTTCTTGAGAAAGATGCTGTGGCTTGCAGAGCCATCTGGCTGTGCTAGGGCTGATCCTGGGCTGGAGCCTTTCAGGTGCTGTGTCTCTGTTAAGGAGCTGCAGCTGGATGCCTCAGCTTGATTCCCCCAAATTCCAGGCCCTGCCAGAGCCTCCAGGCCATTGGCCTCTCTGAGCAGGGCTGCACAGGCATCCCCTCTCCTTTGTCCCTCTTGGATTGCTCCCTCTGCACAAGACCAAGAGCAAACACACTTTCCTATCCCTCTGAACCTTGCCCCTTTCCTTCCTGCTTTTTTCTCTGCCTGGAAGTTTCCTTCATTTCTGTCAGCTTTGGAGCCCTTGTGTGCTCAGGGCCTGGCAAACACCGGCAGGCAGAGAAGACAGTGCTGTTGTCTCTGCAGGATGCACATCAGTGTGTCTTTGCTTTGCTTGTCCCCTTCTCCTTCTCCTTCCCTTCCCTGCTGCAGATTGGTGGAAGACACAACTCAAGCACATTTCTCGAGAAAATGCCCTGGAGAAAGAGGCCACTGAAAGACAGGAAGAGGCTGTGACTCTTCGTCAGGAGGTGGCATCTCTGAAGAGGAAATTGGAGAACCTGGAGAAGGAAAGGAAGGATGTGCTGGTAAGATTGGCAGATGCCACAGAGGGCCAATTCCTAGCTATGTTTGGACCTTGTGGTGATAGTTCTAAGGAGCAGACTTTTTCAGTTAAACTTTTCTAACTGCATTCTTCTGAATAAGGAGGAGATGTTGTAGTCATGCCAAAGGCAGTTAATGCTGAAGCTGCTGATTTTCCTCCATGCTGGGCTTCTGTTCCCTAGAAGCTTTAGTTCTCAATCTCCACACTCTCTCTATGGCCATTGCATGGTTTGGGGAATTCCTTGTGTCCAAACCCATGTTCATATTTCTAAATATCTGAAAGGGAAGGTGAGAAGACCAAGACTGCTGTTAATAGAAAGGTGTTTGGCCTTGGCCATCTGAGAGCAGCCAGTGGGGAGAGAAGAGAGGAAAGCCGAGTGCTGATCCACACCAGGACGTGTGCCTGCAAGGGGAGAACTCGTCCTGAGTGGCAGCAGAGAATGACAGACTGATCTGGCCATTGCTGCTCCAAGAGAGGGCAGTGGGGCTCTCGGGGATGGGGCCATGGAAGCTCTACACAGGAGAGGTGGAACAGCACTCCTGGCAGACCAGCCCCAGGGAAGGAAATGCTGGGGGTGTTTGCTCTTGCCTTCCTCCCTGATGGAGAGCATGTCCTCGTGGCACTGCCTAAATCCTGCTTAGCATGGACTTGAAATCCTGGCTGCAGTTCTGGCAGCTCCTGCCCAAAGGAGCGCTGGAGTGGAGCTGCAAGAGGTCGGGGAAGGGTGGAAAGGAAGCTGGGACAGGCTGAGCGAGCTGGGCAAGAGCAGCATCAAGGGGGGAAGCAGCAAAGGTCTGCAGCATGCCGAGGGGCAGAGAGAGAGGGGCAGCCTGTGCATGTTTGCTGACAGGTTTCTGTGACCCTCTCTCCCATCCAATGTGCAGGTGGAACCTGAAAGGAGAAGAATCAGAACTTTTAGGAGAGTGTTCCTCCCAGACTACATTACGTTTCCTGTCCACGAGTCTGCCCATCAAAATCGGTCAACTTTTGAAATGGAAGAGTCCTCCAGCAGCTATGGGGAGCAACAGCCCTCCTGCTGACGCACAGCCTGTGGAGAAAGGGGTCAGTGGCCCAAAAGTGTGCTTTGGAAATCAGAGTTGGGTTCCTAAATCCCCTCAGAACTCTCTCTAACTGACCTGTGGTGGCTGAGGGATGTACGTGGGAAGGCTTTACCGGCCTTGAACTGGACTTGTTGATCATCTGAGCTCTGTTCTGTCTGGGAGCCTGTTCCTTTCCCCTTGCCCCAGGGCACAGTGTGGGTGAGGGCTGGAGCTGGAGGCTGTGTCTGCCCCGGGAGCGGGTACCGTGGGGCTGCAGGTGCTCCTGCCAGCCTGGGCTTGTCTGAGCCGGGCCTTGTGCCTCTTTCAGGTGTCCCTCTGCAGGCACAGCTGGCCCAAGACCGACAGGACCACCTGGAGAGCTGTGCAGGCAGCAGGCAGGAGACACGAGGTGCAGAAAGGACCTCCTTGCTTCCTGAATGTCTCAGAGGAGGCAGGCTGCAGCTGGATGCAGGCTTAGATTTAGTCAGTAGTTTATCTTTAAAGGATAGCATAGATGCAGTTGAACCTTTACAAAACTCTGTTCCATAGGATGTAAGATATATTTATAGAAAAATAAAGAGTTTATTATGATCATGATTAAACTAATAGATCTTTCTCTGGGTTATTTATTACTCAGTACAGGGAACTATAACTTCCAGTATAGTGCATTATATTTTGAAGCAACATTGCAGCAATTCTAGTCAAGCCAGCAAAACCAATTCTTAAAGATTGATGCTACTCATCCAAACCAATGACCACGGGCAAACATTTCTCTCAGCCTCAAGGCATGACCTTGAGAGGCATCCTCACTCCAGGGAGGAATCTGCAGAAAGGAGACATGTGACATGAACCACTTTGGTGAGAGCAGGAGAAACCTGCCATGCATGGAGCTTTTTCATTTGTCCTTAGGAAACTGTTTATTCCCAGAGTCCCAGAATCTGGGGCTGGGGGAGGCTGGAGGCACCTCTGCAGGTCACCTTGCCCAGCCCCTGCTCCATCAGGGCCACCCAGAGCCGGCTGCCCAGGACGCGTCCAGGTGGCTTTTGAGTCTCTCCAGGGATGGAGATCCACCACCTCCCTGGGCACCTGCACCAGTGCTCAGCCACCCTCCCAGTGCAGAAGTGTCTCCTGAGCTCGGAGGGCCCCTCCTGTGTGTCACCTGGTGCCCGAGGCCCCTGGGGCTGTCCCTGGCTCTGTCCCCTCTGCAGCCTCCCCCCGGGTGTTTATCCCCAGGGATGAGATGCCCTGAGCCTGCTCTGCTCCAGGCTGGGCAGTGCCAGCTCTCTCAGCCTCTCCTCACGGCAGAGATGCTCCAGTCCCTCCCTCATCTTCATGGCCCTGAGCTGGACTCTGTCCAGTCTGTCCCTGTCTCCTGTACTGGGCAGCCCAGCTCTGGGCCCAGCACTCCAGGGCTGGCCTCACTGGTGTGGAGCAGAGGGAAAGGATCCCCTCCCTCCACCAGCTGTGTCACAGCTGCCAGTGCAGCCCAGGACGCTGTTCTGCATTGCTGCAGGAGCGCATTGCTGGCCCGTGGGCATCCTGGTGTCCAGCAGGACCCTGCCAAACTTCAGTTTTTCAACTGGGTGGCCCCCAGCAGATACCAGTGCCTGTGCCTGTTCCTTCCCAAGGACACGGCTCAGCACTTGCCATTGAACTGTCACCCTTGTTGAACTGTCCCTCTGGATGGCAGCACTTCTCTCTGGCAGCTCAGCCACTGCTCCCAGTTTGTGGGAGGGCACACCCTGGCCCCATCACCCAGTTTACTAACAAAGGTGTCAGAAAGGACTGGGCTCAGCATTGTCCTCCAGGCTCCACCGCTAGACTTTGTGCCACTGATCACCAGGGTTCCAAGAAGGTAGATTCTGTGCAAGGTGTCTTTGCTTGTATGTACAAATTCAGAAAGAATTGGCAGGATTTATAACAGGGATTTCTGTTCCATATCTTATGTGGGAAAAAATGTAATGATCCATGCTCGCTCTCACTGGCAGTGGGTAAAGGAAAAGTGGTCCTGTGGTTGGTGACAGTGGATGTCACCTGCACAGGAACTGTGCCAGACTGGTGTGACATACTGTGGGAGGGAGCCCTCTGAGGAAGGTAAAAGCTGGGCTGTAGAGATCATGCAAAGACTATTCTTCAAAGCATAGAAGCCCCCTGTTTTTTGGAGATCAGGAACAATTCCTAGGCAAGGGCTGAAGCTGCAATTCTCTGCGATCCTTTCCCTCCCAGATCAAGTTTTCCATTAATGATGACAGACCAAATTTGAAACTTGTATAATTCACTCATCTTTCTATGACCTCTGCTAGGAGGGAGGAATTCTTGATCCTGAAAATACTCAAGAATTGGCTGAGGATGAGAAGGTCAAGGGTTGAGGGCATATTTTAAAATAACTTAGCAAAGTGAAAAGCAGAATCCCAACCCTGGGTGATAGGAGATCAAGTGAACCGGAAACTTGTGATCAACCTCATCTCAGAAAGGAGGAATGTGGAAGAAAAAATTGTGGAAGAAGAATCAAGTTATCCAGGAGGAGTGTACAGACATTCCTGTGGAAGCAGTTACGGAGTTAAGAAGAAGCCTGCCCTGCATCATGTGAGCAAGAATGCTGAGGGGGTTTATTCCACCATGATCATACATATCACAAGGTAGTTCCTAGCTCATACATAAACATTACTTCTCATAGAACTATTTTACCCACCTCTGCCTCTTGCTGGAAGTCCTTTTATGGTCTTGGAGGATCATCTAAAGAGATCTCTGGTGGTCATATGCACTGTGAGCCCTCCAAATTGGAAGTGCCCTTGCCTTGAACTTCTCTTAGGGCAGGCACTGTTGTTTCTTGTCACATAACTGTGCCACAAAACCCACTTAGGTGCCTTATAATCTGTTTTTCCTCTGCTTCCAGTTCTGTTCAACATCCCGTGTGTCTACTTTTACATTCCTTTCTCTCATCTGCTAGTTAGTCTTTAAGCTGTATCTTGCAACCAAAACTTGCTGTTTTCCATGTTTTCTGTCACAGTGAGTAGCAGCAATGCATCCTCCTGGCTGGAGCCACCCCCATTTCTATGGTCCCTGAGGCTGACAGACACGCCACGCACTGGTGGCATGTCCAGCCTCAGCTCAGCTCGCATCCCTTGCCCAGACAGGGGAGAGCCACAGGCAGCAGAGGCAGAAGCCATGTGCTCAGGCTGCCCCGCCTTGAAGGCACAAAAGCCTCCACGTTCTACTGGTCAAGGGTCAAGGCACCTGTCAGGGCACCTGAGCCTTCAGCGCTGAGCGATGGCACCCCACTTCTGCAGCCTTGGCCCAGTCAGATGACCCTGTCTCCTGAGGAGCTGCCCTTTGACCTTGGCAGGGACCACTCAATGGACATGATGCCATGGCAGCTTGGTAAGCCCTGGATTTGTCATCACTATGGTGATGTTTCACCTCAGCATAGAATCCCAGACTGGTTTGAGCTGGAGAGACCTCAAAGCTCATCCTATTCCAGCCCCTGCCATGGGCAGGGACACCTGCCACCAGACCAGGTTGCTCCAAGCCCCCTCCAACCTGGCCTCAGACACTTGCAGGGATGGGACAGCCACAGCTGCTCTGGGCAACATGTGCCAGTGTCTTACCATCCCCACAGGGAAGAGTGTGGAGTTGTGTTTTTAGCTTCCACTATATGTATGTTCAAAATGGTTTAGCCCTCTGTACCCTCCTGTGCCCTTTTGGTTCATCCCAGGTTTTCCCATCAGTACCTGTGTGTCCCATCAATCCCAAAAACCCTGATCCATGCCCCTGACCCCTCCTGGGTGACTTGTCCACCCTTCCCCTTGGTCTGGAGGCTTCTGCCAGGGTCACTGAGTGACTGGACAATGGCCTGGGGTCCCTCCCCTCCTCCCTTCTAAGTGGATACCCTGGTTGTCCTTCCCTCGGAGGGCCACACCCATGTCTTCTCCCAAATGGCTGATCGGGTTTCCCCGCCCTCCCTATATCAGGGCCTGTTCGAGGCTCAGAGCTCACCCTCTTCTGCTGGATCCCTTCGAGTGCAGTTGGGCTCCGGGGCTCTCCTCGGAGTCACAATAAATCTTGGACCTATCCCCAGAAGAGTGTCACCTCCTTCCTTGCCGGTGGGATCAGCAATATCCTTGGACCCACGAAGGCACGCTCTAAAGCCCTGCTGGGTTCAGCAGAGAGTGCCTCTCGCTGCTCTATCGCCCCGTGGAGAGGTAGCCAGGGCTGGCAAGAGATCTGCTCTTACGAAGTGGGGACAGGACATGGCAGTTTGGTGCCCAACATGGGACCAGAAAGACATTCTGACCCCACGGCAGAAGAATCCTGAGGTCCTTGGACTTTATCTTCACTGGCTGTCAAGCTACGTCCGGTGGGAGTAGGCTCCGTTTTAGGAGCAGCGCTCCCGGGGGACAGGTCTGGCAATTCCTGCACGCACCGCAGGAATCGGACTTCCATCGGCATTCCACCGCCCGAGTGGAATAAAGCTGAGTCTGGGAAGAAGGGAGGGTAGGGGGAGGTGGTTTTAGGATTATTCTTATTTCTCATTTTCCTACTCTGTTTAATTGGTTCTAAAAGAAATTCATTTCCCCAAGGTGAGTCTGTTCTCACTGTGGCAGTAATTGGTGAGTGATCTCCCTGACCCGTGGGATTTTTATCACGTTTTCTTCTCCTTTTCAGTCAACGAGGGGACGTAATGGAGTGGCTCGGTGAGCCCCTGGCTAGCCAAAATTGACCAAACACAGTTCTCCAAACTCCCTCATCACCCCCTCCACCTTCTCCACACCTATTGCCCATGACTTCTTCATGTCCCTGACTCCACTGTCAGTGAAAGGTCTTCCAGCATTGCAGCATTTATTTTGCACTTTATTTACTGCACACTCAAGACACGCCAATGGCACAGGCAACTCTGTGATGTCCAGTGGTCTGGGCCCTGGTCTGCCACCAAAACTCCCCTGCCAGGGCTGGACAGTCTGGAATGGCCTGTGGCAGGTTTGTGGCAAGTCCACGGCGAGTCCACAGCAGGTCCATGGTGGGTCTCTGATGGGCGCCTGATGGTCCTTTGGCCCAGGTGCCGTGCGCCGTGGTAGGGACCTGTCACTTTCTGCCCACATGGTCCCTCAGTGTTACTAGCACTTTTTGTGCCCGCTTCAGGACCTCCTCCTCATCCACGCTGGGGAAGGCCTCACTGGGGGTCACGGGAAAGGGATGGTAACTCGGGTACTGTGTGGCCTTGCCGTCCGTACCACAGTCACACAGCCACTGCACGTCCAGGACAAGGCCCCTCAGCTCCGGCTCCTCCGCCTCCAGCCTTTGGGCCATACCCATCAGCCCTCTATGGCCCGCAAAAGCTTCACCACGGCAAAGCACAGCCGCCACCAGTGCCTTCTCCAGGGCCTGGTGCACTTTGAAGAGCACCCAGTTGGGGCAGCAGTGCCGGATGTCATTGCGGGCTGCCTGCAGGTCACTCGTGGCCTGACACAGCCAACGCAGGGCCTCGGGGACGGATGGAGTCAGGGCCATGAGCTCCTGGCTGCTCAGCCAGGAGCCACAGCCTCCCTGTCTGTGGTGCTGGGCAGCACTGCCAGGTTTGTATGGGACCCACCCCTTTGGCCCCCTGACATCATGCAGAGGCCTCAAGGTTGGCAGGCTGGGATCCTTCCATGGATCAGCTTCAGCCTCCTCCTGCAGCCTTTTCTCTGGCTCTGGTGCAGCATGCACCAGTGCCACACTGTTCTCCTCCAGAACCAAGGCCACGTCCTGTGGCTCCTGGCAGACCAGCATTTCACGCAGCACGGACAAAGCGCGTGCCTCCAGCTGCCCACCCAGGATGTTATTGATCTCCTGTGCCAGTGTCTCCACGACCCTCAGTTGCTGCCGGTTCAGCACCATGTCTACATGCTGGATGGAGAGGAGCCGCTGAGCACCACCAGACAGGCACGCATGAATAACTTGTGACTGGGAGCTGCCCTCCACCTTTGCCCCGCTGTGCACCAGCACAGTGCAGATGTCCTTGCAGCACTGCACTTTCACCTGCTCCACTGCAAAGCCACCATCCCCCTCCATTCCCATCATTGCCTTGGGGGTCTGCCAATGCAGCAGGGACTCCAGCCCCAGCCTAAACCACGGGGATACCAGCAGCGTCCGGAGACGCCTCTGCGCAGCGCACTGAGAGCCGTAACGACATGGCTGAGGACTACCCTCCTCCAGCTGCTTCTCTGTCACCTCTGAGAGCGCCCGTGGCTGCAGGTGTGCTGGCAGCCTTTGCAGCAGCCACCTGACATTACAGCCAGACACTGGCAGTGCAGCCATGAACACAAAGGTCTTCTCTAGGGCCCGAGCGGTCTCTGAGGGCACACAGTCATTGAAGCACAGTCTGTGGGATGGCTCCAGGCAGTCAGCAGTGCTCAGCAGATACAGCTCAGCCACAGCAGAGCAATCGGGGGGCTCCGGTTCCTCCCGCAGCAGCTGGAAGAAATGCCGTGTGGCCACCAGGACTGTCTTCTTCTGGCTACTGGAAAGGCTTCCAGTGCCATGGCTCTCCTGGTAGATTTGGGCCAGGACACGGCTGTAGTGAGTCAGTGTGGGGACCAGGACGACGCCAAGGTGTTGCAGGAGATCTGCAAAGGCAGCCACGTTGGGGTGAGGCGTGAGGAGGTAGGGGTAAAAGTCAGCCTCGTCTGGGAGGGATGTCACCACCTGCCGTGGCCTGGCCATGTCCCATGACTTGGCCAGCACCATGGGCAGCTCAGCCAGGTGCTCTGCGTCCACCTCCTTCAGATGAGTCTGCAGGAAGCTGTACATGATCTGGAGCACTCTGGCCTGTGTGCTTACCTGCAGTTGTGTCGAGTAGGCTGCCCTGCACACATGCTCCAGGTTGGCCACCACCAGCTTTGCTTAATCTTGCTTGAAAATCCTGTCTCAACTTTGCATCTTCCTCCGTGACCTTCGTGCTCACCCGCAGCTTCTGCACCAACTCTTTCCCAGCTGGGGGGATCTCAGAGAAGATGATGGTGTTGACATGCCGGAGGAAGAGCACCAAGTCCTCACCTTCCTTAGCCAGTGTTTCTTCCATGTCCTTGAGGTCTTGGTCTCGCACAACCATGTCAGACACCCTGGACTTGGCAGCCTCAGCTGCAGTGCGGAGCGGCAGCCGGAAAAGGACGCCCTGTTTCAGGTTGAAGAAGGATGGTAGGAAGGTGTCATAAATGTCTGGAAAATTTTTCTTGAAGTCAGTGTCAACAGCAAACATGCTACCAGGCTTCGCAGTTGTGGCTGTGGGCATGTAGTAGAGATGGGGATCAGAGACACACAGGGTACTGTCTGCAGTCAGGAAGGCTGGGCAGTCAGTAAAGTGGTAGACAGTGTTGAAGCCAAGGCCATATTTGCCTGTGACATCCTGCCGGCCTTGCTTGCCACCCACCCCCAGACGCTGAATGCCTTCAATGTCATGCTCCTGGAAGGGGCGGTCGTTGTAGATGCAGAGGGCAGGGCCCTGCAGGATGTTCCATTTCTCACTAAAAGTGGCCTTTGCTGGGTGCTGCCGGCGGTCCCACACAAAGTGCACAAGCCCCGCACCAGCATCATCCGCATTCTGGAGCACCTCCTTGACCATATCAGGAGCGGACTCAGAGTACTCCTTCAAGATGTTCTTCAGTCGTGTTGGCAAATCTTCGTGGGCACCAAATGGCTGTGCCCAGAGGCTCAGGTGATCAGTGAGGAGTTCACTCCTCTCCAGTGCTCGGTGGCGTATGGTGGCCACCCCACAGCGCAGGGCTGCATCTCGGGACAGCTGTTTATGGCACAGCAGGACATCTCTGTCCAACGGCATCCATGGTGCATCATTGAAGTAGAGCTTGTCCCATGGGTGCAAAATGCCCTCCTCATCAGGCAGAAAGAGTTGCTGGGTGTGGCAGGCATCTGGCTGGGTGCCATCTTCCATCAAGCCACAAGACACCAGCCGCAGGGCCAGATCCAGCTCCGTGGCCGGCAGTGGCTTTCCAGCATGTGTCTTTGCCAGGGTGCAGAGCACTTGGGCATAATCATTCCAGGTGAATGTGTGGCGCAGCCCCACACACTCCCAGAGCTCTCTGTAGGGCTTGTACTGCTCTTGGAGCTGATAAAGGTATGGGGCAGCCTCAAATGACAGTTTCTCAGCCACAGCTGTGACCGGCACAAAGTGGGAGCCCATCAAGATGAAGGGCTCCCCGGAGTCCACTGCAGAAGCTACCTCATCCCGGCTGGAGTGCTGTTCCTGGAGCATCATGTTCAGGTGCTTGTAGCAGCAGTTGGTGCTGTACTGCAGGGTCTCCAAAGGGAGAGTGTTGGAGAAATGTCTGAGTGCCCGCAGCTGCTCAAGGACCTGAGCTGATGATATCTGCCGGTCCAGCCCCAAGAAGGATGCTACCTCCTCGGAGAGGCTGAAGTTTTTCCCCAGCATTTTAGGAGCCAAGATAGGCTTGGTGAGTCCCACTAGTGGGTCATGGAGGTGATGGTAGAGCTGGGCAGCTGGCAGCAGCACAAGCTTGCCATTGCGTAGTACAGCAGGGAGGAAGGGCACAGTTGGGAAAGTGGCCTGCAGGGTGTCGTTTGTTCTCTTCTTCACTGCATCCTGAAGTAACTCGAGGATGCAGGCAGCCCTCTGGCAGCCCTGGGCACCATTCTTGGTCCAGAGAAGCTGCACAGTCTTTGCCCTCTCCAGCAGCTCTGGCAGGGCTACGGTGTTCTTCACCATGCCCAGCCTCTCCAGTTGGCTTAGTCTTTCCAGGAAGGCATGCCCAGTGGGGAAGCGCCCATCCTCAGGGCTGTATAAAGGGGCAGCGCGACCTCTGGGATGCACCAGGTGATAGATGAACTGCAGGTGGCCATGAGGGGTGGCAGGGATGCAGGGCACTGTCTGCAGCACTTTGTCCACATCCTCATGAGACATATCCAGCGCATGGAGCAGCAGCAGGTTCCGGTCAACGTCAGGGAGATTTTCCAAGTTGGGAAGCACAAGCTCACAGAGAAAGCGCTTCCAGTCATAGGTTCCAGCATCCAGCGCCTTCCCGAGGCCCTCCTGCACCTTCCCAGGCAAGGCCACAGCCAAGAGGGGATGGGGCACGGTGATGGCAAAGACTCGCTGCGCCACAGTACCCAGCTTAGGGTGTCTCTCTACAGTCTGGTGCAGGAAGCGGGCGTCCTGCAGTGAGCACCAGGAATGGCCATCAGAAAAGAGCCTTGGGCCACTCCTGGCTGCCACAGCCTGGTAGAAACCAGTCACAGCCTCTGTAAAGGGGTAACGGGCAGTGCTAATGTCTGGCCAGAAGACATGATACTCATAGTTCTTCAACTCACCTGCCTCGTGCATGGCACGGAGATGGTCCAGTGCCCGCAGCCAGGCCGCCGGCACGGCATTGTGGAGCAGCACTCGGTTCCACTTGCCCCGCTCTGCCGTGTCCCACAGCCCTTTGCGATTTGAGAGGATGCTGAAGGCCCCGTGCACGTGGATTGGCAGCCCTGAGATGACCGGCATGGGAAGGTGGCAGAAAACTTGCCCCTTCTCAGCATCCAGACGTGGCACCCACTTGCCATCTTTGGCAGGGGCAAGAGGAAGGGCCACACCAGCCATGGGAAGTGGAGGATGGAGTCCTGCCTGTGTGTTCTGGTGAAACAGTTCCAGCAACTCCCCATCACCCTGACACACCAAAACCAGGTAGTGCCACACTGTCCTGGATTCCTCCTCACAGGCTGAGAGCTGCTCAATGGCTGCCCAACTTGGGGGATCCCCAGGGGACCCCAAGCCTCGGATCTCCTTTCGCTGCAGCATGGCCAGAGGCATGGTATCCTCTGTAGAAGTGGCCGTGTCTGGCAGCATCTCCAGAGACAGCTCCCTCACGTTCTTCAGGAAGAGCAGCAGGAGCCTGTTAGAGCCAAGGAAAGCAGTGCCAAGGGACTGGATGCGCTCTGCACCAAAGGCCTCAGAGCAAATCTGCGATGTCACAGCTTCCTCTTCAGTGCGAAAAGGCAAGCGGAAAAGGCTCCCTGGAAAGGGTCCTGGCTCAGGCAGGCAGCAACCAAAGATACCGTTGTAGGGCTGGAACTGCTCAGCAAAGACACGGAGGATGCGTGGCCGGCTAGAGAAGTCCAGGCGGATGCCAGGGGAGCCGGCCCTGGGGATGTGCTTGCTCAGATGGGTGCCATTGGGATCAAAGATGAGCAGTGTCTCCCCGCTCAGCACTGCTGGCACATCCGTGACACGGTAGACAGAGCTGAAGCCCAGACCAAAGCGCCCGATCCGGCCTGCCTGGCCCTCCTTTGTGGCAGCCCCAATCCGGGTGATGTTCTGGAAGTCATCCTCTGAGAACAGGGCATTGTTGTAGGCCCAGAGGGCTGGGCCATGGCAGGCAGCCATGCCTGGGTCTAGCAGCCCAGAGGTGGCCGTTCTGTGGCTCCGCAGGTCCAGGAGGAAGCGGCACACAGTAGCGCTGGCATCCTCTGCGTTCTGGACCATCTCCGTGAAGAGATCGCCCTCCTCGCCATACTCCCGGAGGATGTTGCGGAGGCGTAGAGTGATGGGCTCTGAGGGGCCACAGGCTGTGAATGGCTCCGGGCCCAGCACCCGTGTACTGAGACACTCCGTGCCCAGGAACATGGCTGTGCTGGAAGGCACTGCCTCGTGCACCACCTCTGGAACATCCTCCTCTTCCTCCAGCTCCATGTCCAGGTACACGGCAGAGGCAGCTGGGCGGAGGGCAAAGCCCGAGCCCTGCGGGATCCTCACAGGAACTGGCACAGTGCCCTTGCCCTGGTGGCCCCGTCCCTTCAGCCACTCCAGGACTGCTACAACCACCTGCAACTCTGTGGCAGTGCCCGCTCTGGAGCTGCGCCTGTCTATGTCCTGCCCCAGGGAGCGCAGGGCCGACACCGCCCTCTCCTCACTCACCCCGTCAGCCACCCCCCAAGCCCTGAAGAGGCAGCTGTAGGGCAGGAAGTCAGGGGGCACCCGGGGCACCAGCAGCCCCAGCTCCAACTTCTCAGGATAGCCCAGTACAGCATCACGTGGCAGGACAAGCCCACACTCAGTCCACACAACAGCACCATCTGGGGCAGTCCCAAAGGCCTTCAGGTTTTCCTGCATGTGCCACTAGATGGGCTGGAGAGCGGGACCCACCTCATCCATGTCCCCACGCCCCGCCAGCTTTCTCAGCTGCTCCCACACTCTCTCCAGTGGTGGGGTCTGGCTCAGCCCCAGCTTCTTCTCTGCCTCAGGCACAAAGGCATCAGTCAGGGGCATGGCAAGCCCCACCAGGGATTGGTACTGCATGGATCGCAGCTCCTTGGGGGGCAGGAAGGGCTGCCCAGGCTCTCCTGTGCACTTGGAGTGAGGTACCCATGGCAGGGCCTGGAGCTGCCTGAGCTCTGCAGCGCTGAAGCCATCCAGTGCCTTGGGCTGGTTGCAGACTGTGATCAGTGCTTCAGCCCTGTCCAAAGCTGCCGTGCCGCCCTGACTGACTTTTGCTGCAGCTGCCAGGATGTCTGAGGGCAGCAGGCACCCCTGACCGTGCCGCAAGCCCACGGCCCTCAAGGCACGGAGGACAGATGGATTGTGGAAGGCAGCAGGAGGAAAGCGCTCGGGTGCCAGCAGGGCCTGCAAGGTGCTGTCACAGGGGTCGTAGAGGTCTTGTGGGTATGCGAGGCCATCAGGGGTCTCCAGGAAGGCCAGCTTGCTGCAGGCCTGCTGGAGCGGGGGGCTCTGTGCAAAAACAGTGTCTCCGTGCTGCAGTACCCAGAGCAGGAGAGCCTGTGTCTCAGCCACTCTCCCCGCATATGCGCCTTGGGCCACGGCTCTGATGGCCTTCAGCATCACACAGGCTGCACTGATGAGGGGCCTCTGGAGCCTCCCGAGTAGCCGCCGGTCAACTTCATCCCGGCACCGCAACACGGCCTCCGGCAGCACCACATCTTGGGGCAGCTCCAGCTCTGGCTCCAGCACCGGGGTGGCAGCGGCTGGCACCAGCCCCGTGGGTTGTGGGGTGGCCAAGCAGGGCAGTGGCAGAAAGAGGGGCAGAGCAGCCAGAGTGCCCATGTCCTGCTTGCTCAGGGATGGGACGTCTGCCAGATAGAGACGGAGGACGACCACATCTGCATCAGGAAGCGAAGCCATGCGGGAGGCCAGTGCTGCAGGCCCCTGCCTGCCCAGGGCCCGCAGGGCATTGAGGGGGGATGGAGGCAGGACATAGCGGGACAGGGAGCGGTGCCACATGCTTGGTGGCACCACAGGGCAACCCAGAATCTCCAGCACAGAGGCCACAGCAGGTGGCAGGAGCTGGTCCTCCCATACTTGGAAGATAAGACTGGATTCAGGTATCAGTGGAGCCAGACGGACAGTGGGGGCATCCAGTGAGGACAGAGCTATGAGAGGGAGCCCCTCCAGAGGGCCCAGGTCTTCCACGTGGTGGGCCAGAAATTGCCACAGGGCTGGGAACCAGGAGGCTGGGGGCTGGGGGAGCCCTTGGGCTGGGCACCAGGTCACTGGGGTTGAAGACTGGGATGTCCAGGTGGGGGGCAGAGCCAAGCGCAGGGTCTGTACAGTCACGGCTGGATCCAGCAGAACCAGGTTGGGGAAGAGACCTGTGTACGAGAGGCAGAGGCTGGACTAGAAACCTGTGGGACCTGGGACCTGGCAGGGAGGGGGACACAGGATGTGGGAAAAAGAACTGCAGGGGATGGGTGGCCCCCATGGGGGATGTGGGAGGACCTGGGCTCTGGAGGGATGGTGGATACCCTTAGTAGGAGCACAGAGAACCCAAAAACCCCAGATGGGTGGGGATATAAGGAAGAGATGTGGGAGGTAAAAAGGTGTTAGGGGAACCAGTATTGGGGAGCACAGAGATCTTCAGATGAGGAACACAGTGAGACCCAGGACCCGAGGGAGCACAGAGGGGACAGAGCAATGTGGGAAGAACAGCAAGCACATGCATCTCCAGAGCGACAGGGAAGTACAGGGAGATACTGGGGCTGCAGAGGAACCCAAGGTGTACAAGGTTACCTGGGGATGCTGGGATTTAGGGGGGGCAAGCAGGGGACGTAAAAGTGGTCCAGAGACTCCCATCTCTTACCCTCCTTGGCAATGCCCCGCAGGAGGCTGTCCAAGCCTGGCTCCAGGTCTGAGGGCAGGAAGGACCCGGCCAAGCCAGGCAGGAGCTCCCTGTGGGAACAAACAGATGTCCTGGGGGACCAGAAGGGTAATGGGGAGCAGCTTCCTGGGCACCTGCCTCAGCTCCCACTTGGTGACACTAGGTGAGAGAAGGAGGGCAGTGAGGAGCCCAAATATCCAGGGCCAAATATCCAGGTTTGGCCGTGCCTCCCGTCCCCAATTCAAGAGCAAGAGCTGTGACTGCGGGCAACTGGCTGTGCTGCCCACTCTGCAAGGAACAGAGCTGCCGGGGGCCGTGGGCTCACCTGGGGCAGTCGGATGTGTCCACGTAGACAACGGCTGACGCAGTTCCAAAGGCCACGAAGGTTCCGTCGGCGCGAGGCAGGAGGGGGAGGCCCCAGAGCTCAGCGTGGCAGCCATCCCCGGCCACGTAGCGCAGCAGGCAGAGGCGGCCGGCAGCCGGGAGCTCTGCGGCCCCGTGGCGCCGCAGCACCTCCCGCACGTGTCCCGCCGTGGCCTCCCGCAGACCCTTGGGCATCCCCAGAGTCAGCCCCCTCCACACGTGGGGCGGGACCTCGGCCACCGGCTCCCCGGCTGCCAGCAGCAAGGCCTGGATCGCTGCCGTGTGGCAGCATCGCCCGCAGCCTCTGGCAGCAGCACAGCCTCGAGGGCCCGCAGCCGCCCCGCCGCCCCGTCTGCGGCCGGCAGCAGGACGGGGGCAGCCGCCAGCTCCTGGCACACACGGCTCACCAGGCTGTGGATCCGGCCGGAGCTCGGCGTGCGCTCGGGCTCTGGCCACAAGCTGTAGGCATCTGCACCGGGCAGCGCCACGGCCATGGCGGCCAGGTGGCTGTAGACCCGGGGCAGGAGCTCGAGCAGCAGAAGAGCATTCCAGTGGGCATCTTCCTCACCCTCCTCACCTTCCTGGGGCCAGCGGAGATGGCGGCGATCATCAGAGAGGGCAAAGGGAGCACTGGCATGGACGGGCAGCCCTGTGGCCGTCTCATCAGTGGCTGGCAGCGGCAGGAAGCAGCAGAGCCGCCCTTGGCAGGCCCCGTGGAGGGGGTGTGCCAGGCTCACCTCAGGGCTGCACCCCAGCTGTCTGCCCAGAGCCACAACTGGCCCCTCAGTGGCCCTGCCCGTAGCCACCAGCCACTTGCTGCCAGTACCAACCCCATCCCTGTGCAGGGCCACCAGGCACCACGCCACACTCAGCCCCTCACCCCCCGATGGCACTGGGACAGGGAGAGGCTGAGGGGATGCCACAAGTGTTCCCATGAGTGTCTGGACCCCATCAGGGGCCACACGGTGCAGGGCCACGCGGCGGACATGGCGGAGGAAGAGGAGGGCAAGAGGGGCCTCTGTGAGGAAAGTCTGCATGAGGCTGCAGATGCGCTCAGCATTGGAGACCCCTGCAGCAATTTCTGAGGGTTGCCGGCGAAGGGGGAAGCGGAAGAGGGTGCCCTGGGCTGAAGCACCGTGCTGTCCCACAGCTTCCAGCCCAGCCCAGAAGGGCTCAAAAAGGCCAGGAAGGTCCTGGGCTTCAGAGACGTCCCAGCGCTTGCCAGCACCAGGCAGCACCTGGCATTCAGGGTCCAGCACGCCCAAGTATGGGGGGCTCAGCACACCTGGTAGGTCTGGAGACAAGGGAACCGTAAGGCCACAGAGATGACATGGACACCACTGCCTTCCCAGATCATCCCAAGCCATCAATGCCCCAGATGCCCACCCAATGGCCCCACGTTTATCCCCACGGTGCCTCCCATCATCCAAAGCTTAATCCCAACTCAGCAGTCCTCCCTCAGTTTGTCCCCCTAGCCCTGCTCTCCACTGCCAGCCAGCCTCCCTCCAGCCTCCTAGTGCTTCAGGTTTCCAGCTTCAGGTTTCCTCACTTTGGACACGGCCCTCCATTTTGCACACCCCCAGTGCCCCCCAGTTCTCCCCAGCACCTGTAGTTTGGTGCCTGCAGTAAAACCCACATCCCCGGTTCAGTCCCAGCTGGGGCTCCCAGTGCCACTCACCGGTGAGGTGGTAGACAGAGGTGAAGCCCAAGCCGAAGCGCCCCACGCTGTGAGGATCCTGCCGCTTGTGTGACACCCCTGGGCGCTGAATCCCTGTCCAGTCCTGGGGCGACATCACGGCATCGTTGTAGGCCAAGAGAGCTGGGCCTGGTGGTCAGCACCATCCATGGATAAGGGGGGAAGTGGGACATGGAGTGGGAATTGTCATTCACACTCAGTGTTCCCACAAGCTCCAGTCCCACAAAACTCCCCTCAGTAACACTGAGTCCTCCCAGTACCCTCAGTGCTCCCAGCACATGCCAGAACCCCTCACCAGTTCCACTTCCCCCAGTCCCTCCCAGCACCAGCCAGTGCCCCCCGAGAGCTTCATCCCGTTTCTCCCGGTGCCCACAGTGCCTCTCACCCTGGGTGCCCTCCAGGCCCCCTCCGGTGATGTTGAATTCCCGCTCATCCGACACAAACACGACCTCCTTAGCGCCAGCGTCATCTGCGTTCTGCACCAGCTCCTGGAATTGGAGATCAGTGCCCGGTCACCTGGGCCCTCCAGGCCCTGAGAAGAGCATCAACCCTCTCTCCCAGCTGGGCACCAAGGCCCTGGGCTGGTGCTGGACAGGGACCAGCCCCACTGCCTGCAGTAACGCTGCCCTGCTGGGCAGGAGATCCCGGATGGGTGATGTGCATCTGACCTTGAGGATCTGCCCTCCGTCCGGGTACTTCTGCAGGATGCTGGACAGGTAGTCAAGGAAGCTGGGTGCCCGCTGGCAGAAGGTCTCCCTGTAAAGCAGAGAGAGGGAGAGAAGGTGTGGGGGCGGCTCTGTAACCAAGATGCCCATGTTCTCCTTGGATCCCACAGGATGTGCCTCTCCTTGGAAAGGGTCAAGGACCCCATCTCCTTCCAGGACCCACTGAAACAACCACCTCCAAGGATGACAACTACACTTCCCCAAACCCCTATCTCTTCCTGGGATGCTCCAGTGCACTGCTTTTGCCTGGGATAGAGTTAATTTTCTTCCCAGAAGTGTGTCCAGGGCTACATTCAGGATTTAGCATGAGAACAGTGTTGGCTGCACACAGATGTTTGGGTTGGAGCCCAGTCAAGACTTTTCAGTGTCCCATGCTCTGCCAGCAAGGGGAGAGCATGGCCAGGAGACCCAACCCAAAGTGGCCAGAGGGATATTCCGGACCACAGAACCTCCTGCCCAGTACAGTACTGGGAGGGGGTTGGCCAGGAGCCACTGATCACTGCTGTGGGATGGGTGAGGCATTGGTTAGTGGGGCATGAGCAACTATTGGGCATTACTGGTTTCTCTTGGGTTTTATTCCATTCTCTCTCCTTTTCATTCCTATTAGTAGCAGCAGTGACATCAATCTATTTAGTTTTGTTTCAATCATTAAACTGTTCTTGTGTCGGTTCAGAGGCTTTACCTTTTCGTTTTGATTCTGCCCCACTGGGAACAGCAAGTGGCTTTATGGTGTGAGCTGCGGGCAGGGCTTAAACTGTCCTGAGGGTTTGGGTAACCACAGAGTACAGTGAAGGGAAGGGGAAAGGGAAGGGGAAAGGGAAGGGGAAGACTATGCTGGAAGACTTGTCTCATAGCCTGGCCCTCGCCGGAGAAAAGCCTAAGGTGTAATTAGTGACAGTTCCCACTGGATGGCTCCCGAAGCCCAGCGGGGACGGCAATGCTGAGCACAGCCGGCAGCTTCGATTCAGCTCCAGCCGTTCTCTCGTAGCACAGCTCCGTGTTACCAACCACAACACAATGATAACCTAAGCCCAGAGCCAAGGGAGGATGAACATTCCCACGGGGTTGCACGCACCAGGAAGGGTTTTTATAAAATGCACCTGTGAGTGCACGGGCAGGAACTCCGAGAGCAAACTGTGACCCACAGCTGTTAAATAAATACAAGAGATGCTCACAACAACTTTGTTTTAACACACTCTGCTCAGATCTGTTGTTATCTCAACTCTTTGTGCCCCAGTTGAGAACCAAGAAGGACTGTCGTGGCTGAACCCCAGCCAGTAACTCAGTCCCACACAGCTGCATGCTGCTCTGGAGAGATGGGGGAGAGAATCCAGAAATGGTAAAGAATAGTTAAATAACTGAAACAAGACTAAATATATTGACATTACTGCTGCTACTACTATAAATAGTAATGGGAAGGAGAGAGAACAGAATAAAACCTGAGAGAAACCAGCAGTGCTCAGAAGTCGCTCATCACCCACTGACCAATGCCTAGCCTGTTCCCCAGTAGCAATCGGTGGCTCCTGGCCAACCCCCTCCCAGTTTCTGGACTGGGCAGGAGGTTCTGTGGTCCAGAATATCCCTCTGGCCGGTTTGAGTTGGGTCTCCTGGCCGTGCTCCCCTTGCTGGCAGAGCACGGGACACTGAAAAGTCTTGACTTGGAGTCAGCTCAACGGGGCCTCAGCGTGTTACAAACGTTGTTCTCACTTTGAATCCCCAACACAGCACTGGAGCAGCTTCTGGGGAGAAAATTATCTCTCTCCCAGTCAAAACCAAGACATCCAGCAGCCCCCAGTGAAAAACCCTCCCTGTGAGCCCTGACCGCTGCAGTCCCCACCTCCCTCAGTCACCCTTCAGTTGTCCCCAGCACCCCTTGAGCCCCCTGCCCCACCCACGGCCCCTGTGACCCCCAGAACACTCCAGCCATGCCCTGTCTCCCCCCACAAACACCCAGAGGTGCCCCCAGACCCACTCACGCCTTCAGCTGCTTGAGGGCCATGGTGGGCAGTGCGGGGGACCCCTGCCCACTCCTGGAGCAGCTGGAGCAGCTGCTGCTGCCCCGTGCCGCTGCCGCCGCTGGCGCTCGGAGCTCCGCTCCGGCCCTGCTCCGCCCGCTGCTCCTGGTCCCGCCTCCCTGACCAAGAGTTTCGATTCCCCGTTGCACACGCTCATTCGGGGAAATGTGCTGGGTTTTTTTTTTTTTTTTTTCTTTTCCCCAAAAATAGCGGCGAGGAGCAAGGAGACATGAAAGGCGGCGGGGAGGACCGAGGACCGGGGCAGGAACTTGCCTATATAAAGCGGGGATATGGGAATGTGGATACCTGGATGGGGTATGGGAATACATGGATATTGGATAATATTTGTTTAGATTTAGAGATGGGGTAACTGAGAGGTGTTTTAAAAACTTTTATTCTATTTTCAGTCTCATGAGAAGGATGAGACAATACAGATGCTATAATTCACACCACCACAATCAGAAGCCAACTATTTCCTAATTACAATACACTACAAGTGTTTCTTGGCCTATCAGCTTTAGCCACACCATGCTATAGATGCTTTAAAGCCAAGCATCTAAAACGACTCCTTGTGGAGTTCCTCGTGGAACCTGCATCTTTCATAGTTCTATTTCTCTAAAGTACCCAGTCTTATTTGCAAGGCCATCTTTTGAAACTTTTCCCTAGATCCATTTCTCTCTCAACAATACCTGATCTATTCCATGGCATTTCTAAGTCAGCATTTCTTATCTCAAAGTTTGCATATGGATGAGGCTGTGTGAGCCTTCCATCAGGCCTTGAGAACTCTCTACAAATCTGTTTCCCACATGTGGGGATAGGGCTACAGGGATATGGAAATGTGTAGGGATACACCTACAGGGATGTAGTATGGGAATACGAGGGGATATGGCTACAGGGATGTAGTATGTGAATATGTGGGGACACTGCTGTGGGCCCAGGGCCATCAGGGCCTGGTCTCCTGCCTCAGACTGGCCTGCAGAAACACCTGAACTGTCCTGGGCCAAAGGGCTCTGTCAAAGGGCTCATGGGACCATATGCAGATCTCTTGCACTGTAGAGATTACATAAGACATATATCAGCCCCATGGACTGTTACAGACCATGTGGGGACCACACGACTTCACAAGGACACCACATTGAGGCTATGTGGACTGCAGAGTGAAGGCAAAAAGACCACAAAGACATGAGACCACTTGGAACGTATGAAGAAGGAGCCTGTAGGACACAGCGACTTGGGGCAAATGTAGGACAAATTTCAGGGGATGCAGTGAGGCACCTCTGCAGGGAAGCCTCCTCACTTCTTCCTTCTTTCACCTTTCTGCTGAGTGCGATGGTGCTCAGGTCAGTGCTCCACCGCTTTGACCCCTCTCCAGGCAGATTCCCATTCATCCAAGATCCTCATCCCTGTGACCCTCAGAGCTGTGGTGGGACTGCAGATAGCCATGGGCCTCTGCTCCATGTTTCCCCTCTGCAGGGAGGGGGATGAGCCCTGCAGTGCTGCCAGGAGCTCTGGCCAGCTGGGGGACAGTGGGACACACAGCTGCTGCTGCTACTGTGCCAGAGGATGGCACTGTGCTCACAGGGAAGGCCGGGGAAGAGAGAAGGGAATGTTTGGGTGATGGCATTTGTCTTCCCAAGTCACTGTTACTGTGATGGAGCCAGGCTGTCCCGGGGATGGCTGAACCTGCCAGTGGGAGGTGGGGAATTGTTGCCACAGGCCCCCAGCTGGGTAATAGTTAGCACTGACTCCATGATTCAGAAGGCTGATCAATCGCTTTATTATTCTATCATCTTATCGTCTATTCTATTCTACTTCTATGACACTATATTCCATTAGCAAGAGCTCTCACTCACTACTAACTTGAAAACCTGTGACTCTCTCTCTTGAGAGTCCTGACACAGCTGTGGATCCAATTGATCAATGAATCCAAACACCATCACCAGAATCCAATCAAGCAATCACCTTGGGTAAACAATCTCCAGAACACATTCCACATGGGCACAAACACCCAGCAGCAGCAAGGGAGATAAGGATTGTTGTGGGAATCCAGGGCTTCCCTCTGGCTGCCCTGGCAGGTCTGGGACCCTGGCAGGGGTCAGGAACCCCCCTGTACAGAGCCCCGAGAGACACTGTCTGTGATCTCTGTCCATGGAGAGGAGTTTTCAATCTTACAGGATGAATTACAAGCTTTGAGTGTTTGATAAGAGTAATAATTAAGTGTGACACGGGTGCAAAAGTAAAATTTTAGGTTTCTAGATTAGGGGTTCAGAGGGGACAAGATGGAGGAATTGGGTGTGTCTTGTCCTTTTCCTCCTTCCTCATGCCCTCCATGTTTCACTGTGGTGTTGGCATTTTTCCATTGGTTTAGGCTGGGGACACGCTGTTTAATGTAGATGATAGATATTGGTACATGATTGTAAATATAGTACACGTAGTTTCTGGTATATAATGTTTGTAACATCCCACTGGGGGCAGAGCCCCACACGCTGCCCTGCAGGACAGACCTGCGGCAGGGCAGCAGAACATGTTATAGATAAGCAAGAATAAACAACCTTGAAAACAGCACAGACGAATTATGGCTTCTTCTTTGGCAACGGGGCAGAAAGACAGAGACTTTCTACAATCTCGGAATCACCAATACCCACAGATTCCGACAGTGTCACAGTTATCTTATCACTTGGACGGGTTGGTCAGTGGATGGCCTTACATTGCTCTTCTTAGTTACACAAAAGCCTTTTCTATAGTACAATAAATGAACCGCACTCTTCTTTCCATAATTGATACACAGATATTATATTCATTACACTATTTCTATGAGCAGTACAGTGCATACTTAAGCTGATAGATTATATTCTCTTCACAAGCAGCTGAAAAGAGTTACAATTGGGACTTTTTCTAAATACTTATAATCACTGAGCAGGTACAAAAGCTAATACATAAATGTGAAAGCCAATATTATGTAGTCGTTTTACACAGACTTTTGTTGCAATTTTGTTCAGGTTTAATAAACCTTTTCAATTTTAAAAGTGAGCATAATTTCTCACAAAGTTAATATTCAAGACCCTGTTAAGTCTTTATTCTTCTTCCCTGAGAAGAAGTCCATGTCAATTAGTAAAGCTTTCTAAAACAAATGAATGGATTCAGCTGATTGCAATGATCATGGCTTGTGTGTCTTACAGAGGGCACATACTAAGGGGAGCATGGACAGGCGGATAGGGAAGTGCCGAGTACCTCCCAAGTAGCTCAGCCAAGGGGGAAAGGGACTGAGGAGAAAATGCAGCCGGGAAAGGAGAAAAGAAGGCTACTTGCTCTAGCTAATCGAGAGAGACCCTGATGGACTCTCTCCCTTTGTTCCAGTCAAGGGACTGCTACAGGACTCCTCTGTCTCCTTTGCGGACACGACCCTGTAGCCACGGGAATTTGACACTCTGGGGCTGGGGGGTGCTGGAGCTCCGCTCCCTGGGCAGGGGGAGAACAAACCAGTATAAACCAGTCCAGCCTGGGGCAGCTGGGCAAAGCTCAGAGTCACAAGGGGCCCCTGGCAGCGAGGCAGGCGAGCGGCGGGGAGAAGTTCCGGCCTCAGCCCAGCCGCCCTCAGTGAGTGACAGCGGGGAAACGTGCCTCAGGGATTGGCTGCCAGGGTACACAAAATGACCCCAAAAAGCCTCAAAACCTCCTCCAAATTTGCACAAAACCGACCAACATGGAATAAATGTGAATAAGTATGAAATATTTTAGGCTATGTTTTCGTTACATTTAAACAATGGAATGTGGGAAAGGAAAACTGCACTGAAACATGGCAAAACCAAGAAAAACCCCACAGCCCCTTTAGGAATCTCTCAAAATTAAGTAATATTTAGTAGAAGCTCAAGGAGCCCAAAGCTGCTCTTGTGGAAGCAGAGACTTGAAGCTGCATCGGTCTCTGAGCCTTAACTTGGCAGTGACATCCTGGGGCCGTCATCTCTGGAGAGACAGGCCCTGCAGAAGGCAGGTGCAGCTCTTCTCTTCCACGCAGGATTTGTGCCCTGCTCAGGAGCCAATTCCTGTCAACGCGGGTACAAAATTCCTCCCTAGGTCACAGACGAGCGCTGTCGAAGATGAGGGCAAAAAGTACCTGCCAAAGTTTTTGCAAGCAGGCTCATTTAGTTCTTGAAGGTCTGTTCCTAGAGAGGAATCTTTGATGTAAGCAGCAAGACTTTACTTCTGTCTGGAAGACTTAGTGATATATTGCCAAAAGAGAGCAGAGAAATAAATGCACTTGTGTCTGTCTCAGGATTCTTAATTTATTTTGTGAGCCTTAAACACTGCTGCTCTTGGCATTTCTCTGTAGAAATTTGAAAAGCCCCTGAAACACCATTCTTCCTCCTCATGTGGCTGTTCTAAAGGCAAAGCTTTACTTTTCATGAAGAGTTGTGTTATAAATGAAAATTTGTCCAGCCAAATTAATATGAAAAATAAAATATTTATTTTGCAATCAAATTCTATCCAGCCAGCCACAAGGAAAGAACAGAGCCGAGCCCGGGGTCGGCCCTGGGTGTGCAACAAGGAGTCAGCCTCATCAGAGGTTTTCCTCCGTGCCCACACACCTCCATCCTGGCACAAGGGATTTTTACACGGAAAATTCCGCCTGAGGCCAAGATTTCAGCAATCAGTCTTTTCTTCTATTCAGAGTCTATGTGTTAATAAGATTTTCTTTTTGGTGATGAGGAAGAACAATTCAGTGTCTGGAGTTTGTTGATTCACATGTATCTGCCCAAGTATTTCCATGATATCCATCTCGGGTCGTTCACGATCAGCACCTGGGGTTTCTGTATTTCCCCAGACATGGCCCATCTCCTGGCGAGCCACTCCTTCTTACTTGTAAATCAGTTTCTAAAATACACCTGGTCTCTCCTGCGAGGGTGGGGGGGGAATCCTAATACAAACATGTATACTTTAACAAATATCACATATATCATATTGGAAATGGCGCGAATTACATCTACTACACATAACAGTTGTAATCAGCAAGATCCTTTGTAGGCTTTTTCTTCCATCTATCCTTTGTCAGGAAAGACAGAAGAATTCCTGTGACTCAGGAACTAAGCACATCCCTAAAGAGCCTGCAGGTCTTGAGAATGCTGAGCCTTAAAACTGACACTGTCTGGAGCAGCAACTTCGAGCTCATGTTATGAGCCAGGTCCCTGCCCAGTGTCCCAACAGGGCTCTGGGGACACGGGGGAGGCAGGGCCCGTGCCAGGACCAGCAGGGAGCTGGGATGGGGGGAGAGCCATGGAGGGCCTCTCCAACAGCCCCTGGAATGCTGGGCTATGGACCCTGGTAATGTCACAAAGGCCATGGAATGCTGGGGGTTGGACCCTGACAACCATCACAAAGGACATGGAATGCTGAGGGTTGGACCCTGACAAGTGTCACAAAGGCCATGGAATGCTGGGGTTTGGACCCTGACAACAATCAACAGCTCCTGGCTATTGGGGTTTGGACCCTGAAGCTGTCAACATCTCCTGGCTATTGGAGTTTGGACCCTGAAGCTGCCAACAGCTCATGATCTTTGGGGCTTGGACCTTGCAAAGGCCAAGGGCACTTGGATTTGTGCTATTGACCCTGCAAAGGCCAAGAACCTTTGGATATTGGTGTTTACACTTTGCAAAGGCCAAGGGCCTTTGGGCACTGGGGTTTAGACCCTGCTAAGGCCAAGGGCTTTGGGCACTGGGGTTTAGACCCTGCTAAGGCCAAGGGCTTTGGGCACTGGGGTTTAGACCCTGCTAGGGCCAAGGGCCTTTGGGCACTGGGGTTTAGACCCTGCTAAGGCCAAGGGCCTTTGGGCACTGGGGTTTAGACCCTGTTAAGGCCAAGGGCCTTTGGGCACTGGGGTTTAGACCCTGCTAAGGCCAAGGGCCTTTGGTCACTGGGGTTTAGACCCTGTTAAGGCCAAGGGCCTTTGGGCACTGGGGTTTAGACCCTGCTAGGGCCAAGGGCCTTTGGTCACTGCTGTTTCTCACTCCTTGTGAAAGGGGCAGATGGAGTCCCGGCGGGTGAGTGAAAAAAGCTGCTGCTCTCCTTGTGCCAAGCCCAGCAGGGACCGGAGAGGGCCTGGGCTGTGCCTCGGGGAACAGTTCCCTTTGGGAATAGCAAGGGATTAACAGCTGGCTGTTCCAGAGCTGGCAGAGGCTTTGGTGCTCGCTGTGGGGACAGTGTGGGAGGGAATGGGTGGCTCCTGGCCATCCCAGAGCACAGCCATATCTCCTCCTCTGTCCTTGTCCCACTGGAGGCCGTGGGCACAAACAAGGGAGCAGCTTTTCATTGCCTTCCCCTCACCCAAATTACAGCACAGCCTCAGTGCTTCCCAGAGTCCAGAATGGGTTTCTCCCAGGCATCTCTGAAATGACCCCCAGGGGCCCAGAGGAGGTCACAAGGATGAGAGGAAGATGCTGCAAGGGCTGGAGCACATGTGCCAAGGGAAAAGGATGCAAGAGTTGGGGTTGTCCAGGCTGGAGAAGGTTCCAGGGCGACTTTAGAGTCCCTTCCAATGCATGAAAGGGCTGCAAGAGAGCTGGAGAGGGTTTTAAGCCAGGGCCCTGCAGGGACAGGAGAAGGCTTCCCACCAAGACAGGGCAGGGATGGATGGGACACTGGGAGGGAATTCTGCCCTATGAGGGCGCTGAGGCCCTGGCACCCAGTCTTGAGGTTGCCCAGAGAAGCTGTGGCTGCCCCTGGATCCCTGGGAGTGTTCAAGGGCAGACTGGGTGGGGCTCTGGGCAACTCCCCTTCTCGGGTTCTTACAAGTGATGAGACACCTTCCAGCATGTTCCTTTGCACTGCTGTCAAACTACTGGGCTGAAAATACTGCCAAGGAGGGGAGGAAGAGCTCAGCTGGAATTGCTGTGCTCTGGGACAGTCTGGGAAGCACTCAGAGGCGACTGCCTCAGGGGCAGCCATGCAGTCTGAGTGTGCTCTTCCCTGTGCTCCTGCAGGGAGCTCGAGGGCTTTCTCAGCAGGGACCTTCCTCCAGAGCCCCTGAGGTGAGTAAACTCTGCTGAGCTGGCTGGCACTTTGAAACTGGTTCTCCATGAATGGACGCTGGTTCTTGTGGGATCAGAAGAAGCATCTCAGTGCTGCTTTGGAATAGGAGCAGAATACCTGACTAACAGCTGGATGTGGGCTTTCAGGCACTGGTAGACAACAGTGACGGCATGGCCAACTCCATCATCTGCACCGACAGTCCTGGGAATATCCTCTCAACTCTGACATCCAGTGGTGAACAGCATCCCTTGGAATTGGTTCAGGAAGCTATAGAGACCTGGGGGCGCATGCAGCAATATTTTGATCAAATGGAGGAGAGAAGCCAGAGGATCAGAAGGCACGTCCAGCACATAGACTCTCTGGTAGAAGAAACCAGACGGTGAGTGTTTCCTCCTCCTCCTCCTGCATTCCAGAAACAATCTGCTTGCAGGCCTGGGAGTTCAGAGGTGCCCTGGGTGAAGAAGTCACCTGCCTACCATGTGTAGGCCTCAGTGTGGCTCTCGAGCATCATCCTGTCTGGTTTTTCATGCTCTACTGTGAGTCCCAAGGCTGTCTGGGAGTTGCACAGCCATGTTGGAATAGAAGACTCCTTCTTCTTGCCCTGCTGCTTCCTCGAGTTCTGTTCTTTGTGCACCCCTGCCCAGCCACTGCTTCTCACTGAGGGAAGGCAAAATCCTGCCTTTCCCATTGCCTCTGGAGGATTTTCTTGGGAGGGAAGGAGCAAGGTCTTCCTTAGCCCACTACCCCCAGCTCCATCCTGGAGTGCTGAAAATGGCATTGCTGACTCTTCAGGCCTCTTGATTCTTCTGACTGAGCCTTGTCTCTGCAGTGACCGTGCAAACTTTGAGATGTCCAGGGAAATGCTGCTGCAGTGCACTGGAATCCCGGAGCCAGGAGCCTTGGGTGTCCATCTGGAGAACACCAAGCAGAGGAAGGAAGCGTCAGCCCAGGCAGAACAGACAGAGCAGCAGGACAGAATGGAGGTTGGTTTGGGAAATGAGACTGGTTTTCCCTTGAAAACCCGTCTTGCCCCTTCTTGTACAGTGAAGGGCTTGGCTATACTCGAGGGAGAAGACCCACTGTTGTAGAGCGAGCTGGAAGTCAAGAGGCAGACATTGGAGGAATGGCAGCTTCAGAGGGATCAGCTGGAGCAAGAGTGGGATGATGTTAGCATGGCTCTGAACACCTTATTGCTAGGCAGCACCTGTGGGAGTGGGAGTTGTGGCAGCCAGATCAACCCAGATGCTGTTTCTGGCAGTAGAAGACAGGCACACTGCTGTGAACACCTGGCTCAAGATGGCACATGCATTGATTAGCCAGGAATATGCATGTTCATCAGCACAGCGTTGCATGCTTCTGCAAAATGTGTTGCTTTGGGCAGCCACAGAGCCTCAAAAATGGGGAACAGAGAAGGGGAAGGGTCTGGAGCACAGGAGTGACCAGGAGTGGCTGAGGGAGCTGGAGGGGCTCAGCAATTAAAGGGGCTTGATTCAGCAATTAAATTTGCTTTGTCAAACCTTCCTGAAATTGTCCATCAAAGAAATAGGTCCAGAGAGAAATTCTGTTTGCCAAGTGGCAATTGTAGAAGATGCAGTGCTTTTGGGTGACAACAGGGAGTTTGGAGGAGGGATGCTTGTTGGGAAGGAGCTGTCTGGTCCCAGGCAGGGCAGCAGGGCCTGACACAGCACTTGCAAGGTAACAGTGCCAGAGGCTTTTGGCAGCCCAGGCTATCAGAGCTGCCCAGGACAGGTGCTGTGAAACTTTGAGCCCAGAGCACAGGTGCTCCTTGTCCTCTGGCTGCCTGCGAGGTGCCACTGGCTGGCTCTGCACAGGGCTCCTGAGGAAGGGCTCGAGCTGTACCTTGTCCCACTTGCAGGTTTCCCAGGAGCAAGAGTCATTGGGCAGGGCTCTGGAGCAGCTGCGCCAGGAATCCTCTGGCCAAGAGCATGAAATGGCTCAGGTGTGCAGAGAGAAGGAGCTGCTGGGCCGTGAGAAGGCTGCCCTTGAGGGCCGACTGGCAGCCACAGAGCGCCACCAACATGACCTTTCCAAGCAGCTGGCAGAGACCAGGTAAAGGCAGGGAGCAAACCCTAGGCAGGACAGGGCTGAAGAGCTGTAATGATAAAGGTGGTAAACACTACACAGGGGTTTGTAGTATTCTCTGTGCTTTTCAGATGTAGATTTGGCTGTTGAGGCCAAGTTGGGCTGGGCTGTCTGTGCTATGCCAGGCCATAGGGAAGGCCTGGGCAGTCACTCTGAGGGCCCGGCTCTGCTGTTGACATGGCACAAATGTGCCTTGTCTGGGCGAGTTTCCACGTCACTCATTTCCCATACTCAGGTGTGAGGATCTTGAGCCACATTGTCCTGGAATAACCGGCTGTGGGAGTCTGGGGCAAGCAACTCATGTCTCTCTGTGTGTGCAACTTGTAGGTCAGCAAAGGAGAGCCTGGATTCCAGGCTGTGTGCTGCTCAGCAGCAGATATCTCAGCTGGAGGTTACCTGGAACCATCTGGAGGCTCAAGTGCTCTCAGTCACACAGACCAAGGAGGTGCTAGAAGGTGAGAACCTCGTGTGCTTTGTTTGTGGTGCTGCCCCTTCCTAGAGCAGCTAAACACCCTGTAAAGCTGCCTCTGTCCACAGGGCTTCTGAGGAGTGGTGGGGCTGGTGGCACTCAAAGGGCCTGAGGTCAGTAAAGTCAGTAGAGACTCTGACTCTTGGTGTTGGTCGTGTTTGCAGGAGAAGTGAAGTGCTTGCAACGTGAGCTGGAAGCAGAGAGAGCTCTCAGGAGGCAGGAAAGGGAGGACACAGCTCAACAGCTCCTGCAGGCAGAGCAGCAGCATCACGAAAGCCTCAGGCTTCAGAGAACTGCTCAGCAGCTGGAAATAAAGAAGCTCCTGCAAGACCTGGTAGGGGACAGTACACTTCTGAATTGTCCAAGCCAGCCCTGTGGGTTGGTTTAGCACAAGCAGAGCCTGAGGGTGTGAAAGGGCAGCAATCCTCTGCCAGAGGCCTCCCGCTGCTGGGCCGGGCAGCAGAACCAGCAGCTCAGACTTGGAAGTGCCTGAAGGCCCCCAGGATGGTGCTGGGACAGTAAATGCAGCCAGAGCTTCAGTGAGGGTGTAAGAGGAGTTCCAGAGCAGGTTGGGCAGTGCCCACCCAAAGCGTGGCAGCCCAGGGCAGGATTGTCCTTGAGTCCCACCTGCCACGGAGCAGATGCCAGCGTGGAGCAGATGCCAGCGTGGAGCAGATGCCAACAGTGCTGCTGGCTGCAGGCGTGGGAACTCGGTTCCTTTCTTGCTGTGCTTCCACGGTGGACAGAGGGATTAGCTTTGGGCTGGAAGCAAATGGAACAGGCCCCTTGTCCCTGGTCCTTCAGTCCTCGTGACTGGGGCGTCAGAGAGGGGAAGGTGACACCTCCTTTTCTGAATGCTTGGACTCAACGCTTGGGAAGGTCTTTGCCAAGATAAGAGGTTCCACGAGTCTGTGATTGTTGCACCTGCTGAGCTTCCTTTTGAATTCCATGACAGGACACGGTTTCTGGAGTGCTGTTGTCTTTTCCCGTTGGGGGTTGTGGGAGGGATGAAGCTTCACCTGTTTCGGCAAGGAGCTTGCCTGGGACTTCATCTTGCAAATTTTTCCTCCCCTCCTCAGTCAAGTGAGCGTGAAAGGCACCATGCAGAGATGCAGGAGACGCTGGAGCAATGGGAAAAAGAGAAGGCAGAGAGAGAGCAGGAGCACAAGAAGGTGCTGTTTGAGATGAGGCAGAAAGTTGCCACCCTGCTGGCCCAACAAGAAGAGGAACGAACTAGATTTGAAGATGCCAAGCGAGAGGTAATGATTGTGAGAGGAGAACTGGTGTGATTTTTTGCAAAGCTGGAGCTGTGGGACATGGCAGGACATGGGGCTGTGTGGAGCCTGCCCTCTGTGTCTTCTACATTGAATTAGGGGAGGTGAAAGCTGAATGGGGCTGTCTTTGGGACCAGGAATGAGCCCTCTCATAGGAAGCCAGGCAGAAACATCAGCTGTCAGCTGAGATTTTTCTGCTGCTCTTGTGCTCTGTTGTTCTAAGATGTACCTCAGGGTACCTTCACTGTTCTCTTTCCGCTCCCCTTTTGGTGTGTACTGGCATGTGTTCGTAGCCAAAGTGAGCTTGTAGATCTTTTCTTATGTGGGAAAGGGGAGGGCGCAACAGGAACACTGACAAGAGAAAAATCTTTTCCAAGACTTGCCTGGAGTATTTCTGAACAGTAACCCAGAGATGTCTTTGTGGCCGTGTTTTAAGTCACTTCCTGGGAAGCTGTGTCTGCCCCGGGGCAGGCAGTGGCCCAGGGGAGCAGCAGCCCAGTGCTGTGAGAGCACGTGAGCCCATCAGTCTTTGCCTCTGCCACGGATGTGGCAGGAGAAGTGTGAAGCCCTCTGCTCTTTCCTTCTGTGCAGGTGCTGCTGGAAGAGCAGAAGGAGAAGAGTGCTTTATCAGAGGCACTGCTCCAAACTCAGGGAGAGCTCAGCCAAGCACACCAGCAGGTCCAGCAGCTCAGGCAGGAGCTGAAAGAGCAGCAAGAGAAGGGGCAGGTAAGTGTGAGTAGGCAGGCAACAGAGGGCAGGGCAGTGAGAAGGGCACCAAAGGCAGCTCCTGGGACTGAGGAGGCAAGGGCTGCTTCAGGCCCTGGGAGCACAGAGCCTGGTAAGCTCCAGAGCTCAGCCCCAGGAAGGAAGGTTGCAGTGGAAGCAGAGAGCTGGGTAGAGAAGCAAAAAGAAGCAGCTGAAGCAATGGGATTTTGAGGCAGCACGTAGAACAAGCTGAGCAGGAGGGCAGGTCCCAGGAAGTTGCTCTGCATTTTGTTTTCCAGACCATTGAGGCAAATCTGCAAGCTGAGCTGCAGGCAGCTCGCAGTGAAGTCCAGACAGCGCAGAGGAGGCACGAGGAAGAGCTACAAGGCCTCAAAGAGGAAATGAATCTCCTCCTTGAGCAGAGGGAGGCTTTACAAAAGCAGGTGAGTGAAACAGCAGTGGCACTGCAGCCGTGCAGGGAGGGGTCTGTGGCCTTCTTGCTTTTCCATGGCAGAGCAGCAGCTGATGGGGTGATCCCTGGGGCTGTCTCAGGCTCTGGGGGCTCCATGGCAGCTGCTCTTCAGGACGCCCAAAGCTCTGCTGAATCTCAGCTGCTGCTCTGGACAGCTGGGCCAGTCCTCTGGGCTGTTGGCCAGCAAGCATCAGCAAGGATTCCTGCTGGCCTCTCCTTGCTAGCCTTGGTGTGGGAGGTGCTTTTTCAGGTGCCCTTGGTGGTGGGCCACTTGGAGACTGCAACAAGTTGTCCATATCCAGTGTGAATCTGGTGCTCTCAGGACAGGGAGAAATGGAAAGTTGTCCTTTGCCTTTGCTCACAGCCTGTGCTGTGGCTGACAGTGACAAGCTGTGGCTGTAGCCTCTGACTGCTTTGTTCTGTTTGACTGGAGGTGGGAGAGTTGACATCTCAGCTGGCAGCCTCCCGAGAGTCCCAGGAAATGACTGTCCAGAGAGCCCAGCAAGATGTGAGGGAGGCCCAGGAAGAGTCCAGGCAGAAGCAGTTGGAGGTTGAGCACACCCAGAAGATGCTGGAGGAGGCAAAACAACAGAACAAGGAGCTGCAAGTGCATCTGCAGAACTTGGAGAGGGAAAGGAATCGATGGGAAGAAGTGGCACAGCAAAATTCAGAATTGCAGGCTTCTGTGAATGCCCTAGAGAGTGAAAAAGCCAGGTAAATGAAAGCCTGTGGGACTCTGCATTGTGGTGAATGGATTCCCTCTTTGCCATCTTTGCATCATCCAGGAGCTCTGGCAGCATTTCTTAAGTGGCAGATTCTGAACTCTGGGTGCAGACACTTCTCATGGTCTGGATGTTGTCTTTCATTTTCTTTTCTTTTAAGCCTTCAGCTAGAGTTTTTCTGCAGACAAAGTCTTTCGGGGTAGCCCATTCCCTCTAGGGGGTATTGTGTTGTTAGGTGGGTGTGTTGACGCCGCCCGAGCTGCATTGTAAGGAGCTGGATCCATCCATCAGCCCCACCTTGGCTCCTGTAACTTGAAGCCTTTGGGATGTGGATCAGCCTGGCTTCTGATGTTTTTTATTGACATAAGACATGTTAAACCCATGGTTTTTTTATCTAAGCCAGATGAAGAGAATCACAGAATGGGTAAGGCTAGAGGCACCACAGTGGCTCATCTGGTCCCACCTCCCTGCTCACACAGAGTCATCTCAGAGCACATGGAACAGGATTGCATCTAGGTGGTTCTGGAATGTCTCCTGTGAGGGAGACTCACAGACTCTCTGGACAATCCGTACAGTGCTCGGTCACTGCACAGGAAAGAATTTCTTCCTCCTGTCCAGGTGGAGCTGCCTGGGCATCGCTCCCTGCCCGTTCCTCTGGTGCCGTTGCTGGGCCCCAGGGAGCAGAGCCTGGGCCCTGCTCTGCCCCTCCCTGCACACCAGGACACCCAGGGCTGAGGCCCCTCTCACTGGGGCTCCTCTCCAGGCTGAGCAGCCCCAGCTCCCTCAGCCTTTCCTGGGCACTGAAATGCTCCAGGCCCTTGCTCAGCTGCGCAGCCTCGGCTGGCCCCACTCCGGGAGCTCCCTGGCCCTGCTGTGCTGAGGAGCCAGAGCTGGACACAGCACTCCAGATGTGCCTCACAGGGCTGAGCAGAGGGACTGAATCCCCTGCCTGACCTGCTGGCAATGCTGTTCCCAGTGCTTTCCAGGATCCCAGTGGCCCCTTGGCCACAAGGACACACTGCTGGCTCATGGAAAGTTTCTTGTCCACCAGGACCCCCAGGTCCTTCTCCACAAAGCTGCTTCCCAGCAGGTTGGCCCCAGCCTGTGCAGGTGCCCGGGGCTGGTCCTCCCCAGGTGCAGGACCCTGCCTTAGCCCTTGCTGGATTTCAGAAGGCTCCTCTCTGCCCATCCCCAGCCTGCTGAGATCCCTCTGAGGGGATGCACAGCGACCCTGTGGGAGGGATTGACAACCTCTTCCAAGTCATTGATGAGCAAGTTCAAGGATAGTGGGCCCGGGAGTGAACTCTGTGGGACACCACTAATGACAGGCCTCTTATGAGCCCCTGCGCCACTAATTACAACCTTCTGGGTTCTGCTGTTCAGCCAGTACTCAGTCCAGCCCATTATCCACTCCTCCAGCCCCCACTGCCTGAGTTTCCCAAGTAGGATGTTGTGAGAGACCATGTCAAAAGCCTTGCTGAAATCAAGGTAGACAATATCCACTGCTCTCCCTTTGGCCACCCAGGTAGATGTTTCATTGTAGAAGGCAATTAGGTTGGTCAGGCATGATTTATCTTTAGTGTATCCATGCTTACCATTCCTGATCACCTTTTTGTCTTTCCATGTGGGGAAGAGGGAACCTCCAGCATGAGGTACTCCATCACCTTTTCAGGGATTTAGGTGATTCTGACAGGCCCAGAGTTCCCTGGGTCCTCCTCCATGCCCTTTCGGAAGACCAGAATGACATTTGCTTTCTTCCAGCCCCCGGCATCTCTCCTGATCTCCATGACCTTTCAAAGATAATGGGGAGTGGCCTCACTTTGGTGTCCACAAGCTCCCTCAGCACTCATGGACAGATCCTGTCGGGGTCTAAGGACTTGTGGATGTCGAGTTTGCCCAGGCATTCACTAACCCAGTCCTCCTTGAAAGGAAAGTCTTGCTAAGGGGTCCCTGCAGGCTCCCAGCTGGGTAATAATTAGCATTGACTCCATGATTGCAGAAGGATGATCAATTGCTTTATTATATCGTCTTAGATTATGCTATGCTATTCTATTAAGAAATTCAGTAATCTTTGCAGCCAGTCTGATACAGCTTTGACCTAACTGGTCAATTCATCCAAACACCATTCAGTGTCCACTTAAAAAATCACCCTTTGGTATACAAATCTCCATGACACATTCCACATGTGCACAACAGCAGGTGAAACAAGTGGAGATAAGAATTGTTTCTCATTCTTTCTTCTGATCTTCTCACAGCCTTCCCTGGGAAAATGCCTGGGAAAGTCTGTGCCTGCTTTCTGTGGCCAGAGGACTGCTAGCACACTAAGGGATAGTCTTCCTTCCAACATTCTTTTAGCCTGGTCTCCTGGGCCAGAGGTCCCTGAGGGCTGGTCTTAACCAGTACAGACCGATGCAAAGAAAGGCACTCAGGAACTCTGCCTTCTCTGCATCCCCTGTTACCAGGATCTCCCCTCCATTTAGGAACAGACAGAGACACATCATCCTTGGTTTTCCTTTTGTAACTGATATATTTAAAAAAGCTCTTCTTGATGTCCTTGCCAGGATTTAATTGCAAGGTGGTCCTTGGTATTCTTTGTGTAATTTCTAATTACTCCAACAATCTCTCTATATTCATTCTAAGTGGCCTGAGCCTGCTTCCATCTCCTCTGTACTTCCTGCTTGCGCTTGAGGAATGACAGGAGTTCTTTGCTTATCCTGAGACTCTGGTCTCTTGCCTCCTTTGCCCAGTTTCTTGCTCACTAGGATGTATTGTTTTTGGGCCTGGAGGAAGTGATCCTTGAATATCACCTTGGATCCCTTTACTCTGCAGGGCCTGTTCTCATGTGCTTCTTTCAAGAAGGTCCCTGGAGAGACTAAATTTTGCTCTCAAGAGGTCTGTGGTTGTAATCTTGCTTGCTGCCCTGCTTTTTTCCTTCCCCCCAGCTGAACTCCACAATCTCATTCATAGGCAGTGCAGCCAAGGGTGACCTCAGGCTCACATCTCCAACAAGGCCTTCCCTGATTGTTAGGATAAGTTTGAGCAGCATGCTGTTCCTTGTGGGACCCTCCACTGCCTGTGACAGCAAGTTGTCATGAATGCTTTCCAGAAACATCCTGCACTGTCTTGTTTCTCTAGCTGATGGCAGGGAAGCTAAAGTTCCCCACAAGAACCAGGGCCTGTGACTCTGAGGTTGCTTTATATTGCCTGTAGAAAGCCTTCTACTTCTCCTGTTTAGGTGGCCTCTAGCAAACACCCACAGCAATGTCACCCTTATTGTCTGTCCTTTAATTCTGACCCATAAGCTCTGGACTCACTCATCATCTACCCCAGACAAAGTTGACACATTCCAAATGTTGCCTGACATAGTGGTCAACTCCATCAGTTGAGTTGGAGTTGACCAACTCTGAGGCACCCAAGGGATATGAATGTCTCTTATGGCCATCTGTTGGCCTTGTGCTACAGGCTGACTCTGTCTCTGGAAGAAAAGCATCTGAGCCTCAGAACCCTGGAAGAAAACAACCTGGCCCAGATCAATCAAGTGTCTCAGCTTCGTTCTGCCCTTACCCAGGCCGAGGAGCTCCACTCAGAGCATAGAAATGAAATGCAGGAGCTCAACACCCAGGTAAGCTGTGCAGTGGCATCCTCTTCTCCAGGGACACACAGCAGCACCTTTGGCTTGGAGGCCCCAACCTCTTTCCCCTCCCGGCAGCATCCACAGCTGCCGTGTTCTGCCCGGGGCTGCTGCGGCACCCTGAGGCCCAGGCTGGATCTGGTGTCTGCTGCCGAAGTTTTGCACCGTTCTCTCCCGGCTCCCAGCAGGAAATCTGGGAGAGGAAGCAGCAGCAGCCTCCTCTGGAGCTTCTCCGTCCCTCTGTTAGCAGTGTTGTCCCAGACAGAGTTGGTGCCTGTGCCAGCACTGAGCAATGTGGGGACACAGAGGTGGCTGTGGCAGGCTGGGCAGGGCACTTCCAGCGCAGCCATCTCAGCTGCTGTTCAGAGCTGCAGCCTCAAGGATGCCCATTGCCTCCCTTTCCCTCTTTTCTCTACATTTGTCTCCATTGGAACCCTTGCTTCTGTGCCTTCTGGTTTTGGCATGGTTTTTGCCCGAAATAATTTCTCCTTTGTTCCTCTCCCTGCGGCCCGCTCTGTGGCCTCAGGAGCAGCCCTGTCCCTGAGGCTCTGTGCATCCTTCTTCCAGATGCAGGCCATGCTGCTGGCAGAGATAGAGAAGACAGCTCGCCAGGCAACTGAAGAGAAGCAGCTGCTGGAAACTGAGGTGTCTGAGCTGCGTGTGAGGCTCCAGAGCTCTGAGGAAAGAGCAGAGGCCATGGCCACACAGTGTAAGGCCATGGAGCTGGGGCTGAGGAAGACACAGGCTCAGAGGGACAATCTCAGAGCCTACAATCAGGAGCTGCTGAAACAGCTGGAGCACATTGAGCAAGGTACAGCTTCTCCTCCCCCAGCCACTGCCCCACCCTGTCCCACCTGCAAGGATCTTGCTGATGCCTTGCAGAGGAAAAGTGCCCAGAGATGGCAAAGGGGAAAAACAGCCAGCAGGAAATTTATCCCTCCAAGTGCCAGTGAAAGCTTTTTTCTTGAGAAAGATGCTGTGGCTTGCAGAGCCATCTGGCTGTGCTAGGGCTGATCCTGGGCTGGAGCCTTTCAGGTGCTGTGTCTCTGTTAAGGAGCTGCAGCTGGATGCCTCAGCTTGATTCCCCCAAATTCCAGGCCCTGCCAGAGCCTCCAGGCCATTGGCCTCTCTGAGCAGGGCTGCACAGGCATCCCCTCTCCTTTGTCCCTCTTGGATTGCTCCCTCTGCACAAGACCAAGAGCAAACACACTTTCCTAGCCCTCTGAACCTTGCCCCTTTCATTCCTGCTTTTTACTCTGCCTGGAAGTTTCCTTCATTTCTGTCAGCTTTGGAGCCCTTGTGTGCTCAGGGCCTGGCAAACACCGGCAGGCAGAGAAGACAGTGCTGTTGTCTCTGCAGGATGCACATCAGTGTGTCTTTGCTTTGCTTGTCCCCTTCTCCTTCTCCTTCCCTTCCCTGCTGCAGATTGGTGGAAGACACAACTCAAGTACCTTTCTCGAGAAAGTGCCCTGGAGAAAGAGGCCACTGAAAGACAGGAAGAGGCTGTGACTCTTCGTCAGGAGGTGGCATCTCTGAAGAGGAAATTGGAGAACCTGGAGAAGGAAAGGAAGGATGTGCTGGTGAGATTGGCAGATGCCACAGAGGGCCAATTCCTAGCTATGTTTGGACCTTGTGGTGATAGTTCTAAGGAGCAGACTTTTTCAGTTAAACTTTTCTAACTGCATTCTTCTGAATAAGGAGGAGATGTTGTAGTCATGCCAAAGGCAGTTAATGCTGAAGCTGCTGATTTTCCTCCATGCTGGGCTTCTGTGCCCTAGAAGCTTTAGTTCTCAATCTCCACACTCTCTCTATGGCCATTGCATGGTTTGGGGAATTCCTTGTGTCCAAACCCATGTTCATATTTCTAAATATCTGAAAGGGAAGGTGAGAGGACCAAGACTGCTGTTAATAGAAAGGTGTTTGGCCTTGGCCATCTGAGAGCAGCCAGTGGGGAGAGAAGAGAGGAAAGCCGAGTGCTGATCCACACCAGGACGTGTGCCTGCAAGGGGAGAACTCGTCCTGAGTGGCAGCAGAGAATGACAGACTGATCTGGCCATTGCTGCTCCAAGAGAGGGCAGTGGGGCTCTCGGGGATGGGGCCATGGAAACTCTACACAGGAGAGGTGGAACAGCACTCCTGGCAGCCCAGCCCCAGGGAAGGAAATGCTGGGGGTGTTTGCTCTTGCCTTCCTCCCTGATGGAGAGCATGTCCTCGTGGCACTGCCTAAATCCTGCTTAGCATGGACTTGAAATCGTGGCTGCAGTTCTGGCAGCTCCTGCCCAAAGGAGCGCTGGAGTGGAGCTGCAAGAGGTCGGGGAAGGGCGGAAAGGAAGCTGGGACAGGCTGAGCGAGCTGGGCAAGAGCAGCATCAAGGGGGGAAGCAGCAAAGGTCTGCAGCATGCCGAGGGGCAGAGAGAGAGGGGCAGCCTGTGCCTGCCCCTGCAGCAGGGGTCCAGATCTGGTCTGAAAAGCAAACCGAGAGAGGGAGTGAGTGACCCTTTTTCTCCCTGTTTTGGCAGCATGAACGGGAATTGAACCAGCAGCAAATGAGAGATGTGAAAAGGAAGAATGAAATGTGTGCACCTGAGATGAGAAATCATAAAGAAAATACTCAAGAATTGGAAGTGGAGAGGGAAGACATGCAGGAAGAGTTGGAGCACGGGGCTGCTGCTTTGAAGAAATGGAGGGAGTACACTCAAGTACTGATTTCTGCCCTGAACAAGAGTGAAATTGCCAAAGGGTCTCTGAAGAAGCGCTTGGACATCCTGAAGGGAGAGTCTGGTATCCAGGGAGGCACTGGCATTGACCTTCAGTCCACTCCAGAGTCCCTGAGCTATTCCAGTGCTTCTTCCCATGAAGAGGTGGGTCTCTATCCCTGTCAGTCCAGGGCTGCGTGGGTAAAGCAGCCCGGGCTGCAGCAGGCAGCCTTGTCTGTCTGCCTGGCTCCAGCCAGAGACCACTGACTGCCAGATTGTTTCCTGGCTCGCCCAGAATGACTGATCCAGCTCTGGAGCTTGCTGTTCAAATCAGCTCCAGGCCATAAGCTGGGCATGGGGAGCTGCTTCTCCTGTGCCCATGCAACACATGGGGGTTTGGATTTGGTGTGGGAAGAAATGGAGCAGGTGAGCAGAGGAATGGGCAAAACTGAGCAGAGGTTTGGAGCAAGGGCTGAAAAGCAGCTACACTCCTGGTGCTCAGAGTAATTGGTATTGGCACTTGTGGAAGATGCAGTGGTTTTGGGTGACAACACGGAGGTTGGAGGAGGGATGTGTGTTGGGAAGGAGCTGTCTGGTCCCAGGCAGGGCAGCAGGGCCTGACACAGCACTTCCAAGGTAACAGTGCCAGAGGCTTTTGGCAGCCCAGGCTATCAGAGCTGCCCAGGACAGGTGCTGTGAAACTTTGAGCCCAGAGCACAGGTGCTCCGTGTCCTCTGGCTGCCTGCGAGGTGCCACTGGCTGGCTCTGCACAGGGCTCCTGAGGAAGGGCTCGAGCTGTACCTTGTCCCACTTGCAGCTCTCCCAGGAGCAAGATTCGTCGAGCTGGTCTCTGGAGCAGCTGAGCCAGGACTCCTCTGAGGAATCCTTTGGCCAAGGGCACGCACTGGCCCAGGTGTGCCGAGAGGAGGAGCTGCTGGCCCAGAAGGCTGACCTTGAGGGCCGACTGGCAGCCACGGAGTGGCTCCGACAAGACCTTTCCAGGCAGCTGGCAGAGACCAGGTAAGGGCAGGCAGCAGAGCCTTTTCAGATGCTTTTACAGTCCATGGACACAATATGGAAGCGTCTCAAGAACAAGAATATGCCACAATGTGAAGGTTATTCTGACACCTAAAGCCAGCAAAGCTCTCTCGAGCCTTGGGCTCCTGTTTGTGCCGCTGAGCACACTCCTGTGGGAAGCCCAGAGCAATCCACCCAGCCCTGAGCTGAGTAGTACTTAAACCATGCAGATGCTGAGTGAAACCACAAGTTTCTCTGGGGTTTGGTTCCTTGTTCTGGGCATTGAACACCCCTCGTTCCTTACCAAGTAGCTTGATATGATCCTGATGGTCAGGACTGAAGCTTCGCCTTCAGCATTCCAGGCTCTTTCCTTGGCACGTTGGGAGTAGCAGGCTGCCATTCAGGGGGAAGCCAGAGGCTCCTGCTGAAAACCCTGGGGGCTTTCAGCTTCCAAGCACACGCTTGAGAAATGTGGGACAGGCCCTAGAGCTGGTTAGAGCGCAGCAGGGAAAGCTCTTTGGAATTCTCAACAGCCTGGCTGATTGTTGATGGGCACCCAGCTGCCAAACCTGCCAAGGTCCCTTTGGATGGTCCCTCTCACTCTGTAAAGAAGGACAAGTCCCTTGGGCTACTGCCTGCTTGGCCAGCAACACTAAAATAAAGGTGGCAAGTCTGCTCCATGACCTTGCAAGAGTTTAAACTGCAGTCCCTGCATTCAGGTGCTTGTTGTTCAGACAAAAGGGTGTTGTGATTTTTTACAAGTGCTGCTATGACCATGAGAATTTACTGTGCCATGCAAAGTCATTCTGAAGTCTCCTAAATACAGGGTGTCTGGAAGATGATGTACCTTTGTGTCCATTATCAAAAGCATTAAAAAGTCAGCAGTCAGCCAGGACAAGAGTGTGTTGTGTCCCCCTGCAGAGCAGCTTGGAAGTGCTGATGAGAGAAGGGCTGTGAGCAGGGGCTGGGCTTTTGCTCGTCGCTCCAGCCTGTTTGGACACAGCTACCCCGTGTCCTAGGTCAGGATCAGCAACTGAAGGTTTGGCTGTTGAGGCCAAGTTGGGCTGGGCTGTCTGTGCTATGCCAGGCCATAGGGAAGGCCTGGGCAGTCACTCTGAGGGCCCGGCTCTGCTGTTGACATGGCACAAATGTGCCTTGTCTGGGCGAGTTTCCACGTCACTCATTTCCCATACTCAGGTGTGAGGATCTTGAGCCACATTGTCCTGGAATAACCGGCTGTGGGAGTCTGGGGCAAGCAACTCATGTCTCTCTGTGTGTGCAACTTGTAGGTCAGCAAAGGAGAGCCTGGAATCCAGGCTGTGTGCTGCTCAGCAGCAGATATCTCAGCTGGAGGTGACCAGGGAACATCTGAAGGCAGAGCTGCAAGCTGAGCTGCAGGCAGCTCGCAGTGAAGTCCAGACAGCGCAGAGGAGGCACGAGGAAGAGCTACAAGGCCTCAAAGAGGAAATGAATCTCCTCCTTGAGCAGAGGGAGGCTTTACAAAAGCAGGTGAGTGAAACAGCAGTGGCACTGCAGCCGTGCAGGGAGGGGTCTGTGGCCTTCTTGCTTTTCCATGGCAGAGCAGCAGCTGATGGGGTGATCCCTGGGGCTGTCTCAGGCTCTGGGGGCTCCATGGCAGCTGCTCTTCAGGACGCCCAAAGCTCTGCTGAATCTCAGCTGCTGCTCTGGACAGCTGGGCTAGTCCTCTGGGCTGTTGGCCAGCAAGCATCAGCAAGGATTCCTGCTGGCCTCTCCTTGCTAGCCTTGGTGTGGGAGGTGCTTTTTCAGGTGCCCTTGGTGGTGGGCCACTTGGAGACTGCAACAAGTTGTCCATATCCAGTGTGAATCTGGTGCTCTCAGGACAGGGAGAAATGGAAAGTTGTCCTTTGCCTTTGCTCACAGCCTGTGCTGTGGCTGACAGTGACAAGCTGTGGCTGTAGCCTCTGACTGCTTTGTTCTGTTTGACTGGAGGTGGGAGAGTTGACATCTCAGCTGGCAGCCTCCCGAGAGTCCCAGGAAATGACTGTCCAGAGAGCCCAGCAAGATGTGAGGGAGGCCCAGGAAGAGTCCAGGCAGAAGCAGTTGGAGGTTGAGCACACCCAGAAGATGCTGGAGGAGGCAAAACAACAGAACAAGGAGCTGCAAGTGCATCTGCAGAACTTGGAGAGGAAATGGAGTCGATGGGAAGAAGTGGCTCAGCACAATTCAGAATTGCAGGCTTCTGTGCATACTCTAGAGAAGGAAAAAGCCAGGTAAATGAAAGCCTGTGGGACTCTGCATTGTGGTGAATGGATTCCCTCTTTGCCATCCTTGCACCTGCCAGGGCCTCTGGCAGCATTTCTTAAGTGGCAGATTCTGAACTCTGGGTGCAGACACTTCTCATGGTCTGGATGTGTCATGGTTTGACGCCCCATGAAAATGCAACCTACCAATCAAATGCTGTGAAATGCGATCGAGAGCAGAGCAAAGCAGGCCAAACTTAATAACAAAGGAAAGACTTTATTACACTACTGCTAATAATATAAAGGGGAAGAAAAAGAAAAAAAACCACACAAACTTCAAAATGAAAACCTTCCAAAACACTCCTCCTCCCACCACCCAACTCCAACAAACCACAGCGAGACCCATTTAGATCCTTAATCCAGTTTTCACCCTTCAATATAATCAATACTGAATCCATCGGGGAAGAGAGGAGTCCCCCTTGCACCACAGACCCCCAGGAAACACAGCTGCCACCTCTTGTGTTTCCATGTCACACGTGGCACTGCCCAGACCCACCGGCCAGTGCGACACTCTCCTCTCCATGTCACAGTGCTCTCACCACCGTGCATGGACAGAGACTGCTTATAGGGCCCCTTTAAGGATGCTTTGCCAAGGACCACCAGGAACAACAGTCCAGTATCGCATTTCGGGACTAGAGTCCCCCCCATTTTCCCCTGGGGCCGAGGGTCCAAGGACAGAGATCGCCTTCTCTTCTTCTCTGAAGACGGAGGGCATCCTCACACCCTCCTCAGCTCTCTCTGTCCATTCCAGAACTGGTAGTTGCTGAAGAAGGTCTCTTGGCTCACCAGTGCATCCCCCTAAAATGCAGTCCCTCTTGAAAGAAGGAGTGGTTCAGTCTATGGTAAACAAGCAGAGTCCAGCCAAAAGGCACTCCATCATCTCCCCCCAACCTTCTTCTCTGAACATCTGAGGTCCCAGGCTGTCTCTCTTTCCTTCAAATTGAGGAGGAGTAATATTTCATAAAGCCTTCATTTCCCAGGAAAGGGTTAAAATTCCTGGACTCCCCGGATGGCTGAAATCTCAGCCCAGGACTCCTTCTCCTGTCTCCCACGCTGGGCATCTTCCCCCCCTTCTCCTTCTCCTCTGTCGGCAAACTCCCAGGTGTCTGCTGGCTCTCTATCTCTTTTCCCTCTAGCTTAGGGGAGGGGGAACAAAGACATCCCAGATGTTCTCCACCCTTCCGTCCGCAGGAGCTGGCCCAGCTCGGTTCCGATCCTTCACCCCCTGGCCTACCTCTGCAGGCCGCATGGCTCCCCTCCCCCAGCCAGCCTGGGCTGGGGAGAGGTCCGTACCTTGCGATGACCGGAACCAAAGGAGAGTGAGTCCTCCTGGGAATTCCGCCTTTAACCCCTCTGTGTTCTCAGAGGCGTGTCCACCTTCAATTGGTCACCCCAAGTGTCAGTATCCAAACCTGACCCCTGACTGTGACCTCTTCCTTCCAAAAAAAAATTCTCTTCCCGTGTCAAACCATGACAGGATGTTGTCTTTCATTTTCTTTCCTTTTAAGCCTTCAGCTAGAGTTTTTCTGCAGTCAAAGTCTTTTGGGGTAGTCCTTTGCCTCTAGGGGGTATTGTGTTGTTAGGTGGGTGTGTTGAAGCTGCCCGAGCTGCATTGTAAGGAGCTGGATCCATCCATCAGCCCCACCTTGGGTCTTGTACCTTGAAGCCTTTGGGATGTGGATCAGCCTGGCTTCTGATGCTCTTTCTGGGCAGAACCATCTTAAGGCCCTGCTTGCTGATCTAGGCCAGATTGCCCTCAGAGGCAGCCCAGAAACAAGAATGGCTCTGTGGCATCGTTCCTCATAAAATGTGTCCTGGGGCCTGGAGGGGGTCAAGCAGGCTCCCTGCCACCCTGCACAGTCACAGGCATTACTGACTGTGCAAAGAATGCAGAAACAGGACCAGGGGATGGGGGGCTCCTCCAGCTGATCGAGTCCTGCCAGTCTTCAGTGCCACAGGATTCTTCTTCCAAACCAAAGACAAAGGAGAGGCAGGGCACTCCTGCTTGCCTGGAGCCTTCTGCATCTGCCATCAGGTTTTGCTCCAAGCCTTGGCTGCCACTTGGGCCTCTGTTTCTCCAGCTGAAAGTAGGATGGGTGCTGGTAAACCTTAGGGAACTCGCCAGAGATCCCCTGGCTGTAGGCTGCTGCTCCTCCTACCGGGACGTAGAAGATTGGGGAAGGAAATGTCTCTTCCATGTTGACCAAACCTCCCTGCCTTGGAGCCTGGTTAGTCAGAAGAAAATTGTTCCTCTCCTCTAAAGTCTTCATTGCAAGACTTCATTAGCTTTGTATTCACATTCCCATCTCAAAAAGAAGGTAGGGCATGTAGGCAGGACTCCCTGTTCTTTCAGGAGCAAAAGCACAGTCGGCACATGTTGGGCTGTGACTGCAGGGGGAACAAACAGCCAAGTTGTTTAGACAAACCTCATCAGACAGAGGAGTTTTTCCCTGAGGTGCTGCAAGTCCTAAGAGCTTATAGAATGTGATATCATATAGTAATGAGTTGCTTGCTTCCCTTCTAGGCTGCTTGTGTCTCTGGAGGAGAAGAACCAGTGCTTCCGAAAACTGGAAGAACAGAACCTGGTGCTGAAAAATCGTGTGTCTCGCTTATTTTCTGCTCTTAAGCAGGCAGAGCAGCTCTGTTCTGAGCATAGGAGACAAATGCAGGAGCTCAACACCCAGGTAAGCTGTGCAGTGGCATCCTCTTCTCCAGGGACACACAGCAGCACCTTTGGCTTGGAGGCCCCAACCTCTTTCCCCTCCCGGCAGCATCCACAGCTGCCGTGTTCTGCCCGGGGCTGCTGCGGCACCCTGAGGCCCAGGCTGGATCTGGTGTCTGCTGCCGAAGTTTTGCACCGTTCTCTCCCGGCTCCCAGCAGGACATCTGGGAGAGGAAGCAGCAGCAGCCTCCTCTGGAGCTTCTCCGTCCCTCTGTTAGCAGTGTTGTCCCAGACAGAGTTGGTGCCTGTGCCAGCACTGAGCAATGTGGGGACACAGAGGTGGCTGTGGCAGGCTGGGCAGGGCACTTCCAGCGCAGCCATCTCAGCTGCTGTTCAGAGCTGCAGCCTCAAGGATGCCCATTGCCTCCCTTTCCCTCTTTTCTCTACATTTGTCTCCATTGGAACCCTTGCTTCTGTGCCTTCTGGTTTTGGCATGGTTTTTGCCTGAAATAATTTCTCCTTTGTTCCTCTCCCTGCGGCCCGCTCTGTGGCCTCAGGAGCAGCCCTGTCCCTGAGGCTCTGTGCATCCTTCTTCCAGATGCAGGCCATGCTGCTGGCAGAGATAGAGAAGACAGCTCAGCAGGCAACTGAAGAGAAGCAGCTGCTGGAAACTGAGGTGTCTGAGCTGCGTGTGAGGCTCCAGAGCTCTGAGGAAAGAGCAGAGGCCATGGCCACACAGTGTAAGGCCATGGAGCTGGGGCTGAGGAAGACACAGGCTCAGAGGGACAATCTCAGAGCCTACAATCAGGAGCTGCTGAAACAGCTGGAGCACATTGAGCAAGGTACAGCTTCTCCTCCCCCAGCCACTGCCCCACCCTGTCCCACCTGCAAGGATCTTGCTGATGCCTTGCAGAGGAAAAGTGCCCAGAGATGTCAGAGGGGAAAAACAGCCAGCAGGAAATTTATCCCTCCAAGTGCCAGTGAAAGCTTTTTTCTTGAGAAAGATGCTGTGGCTTGCAGAGCCATCTGGCTGTGCTAGGGCTGATCCTGGGCTGGAGCCTTTCAGGTGCTGTGTCTCTGTTAAGGAGCTGCAGCTGGATGCCTCAGCTTGATTCCCCCAAATTCCAGGCCCTGCCAGAGCCTCCAGGCCATTGGCCTCTCTGAGCAGGGCTGCACAGGCATCCCCTCTCCTTTGTCCCTCTTGGATTGCTCCCTCTGCACAAGACCAAGAGCAAACACTCTTTCCTAGCCCTCTGAACCTTGCCCCTTTCATTCCTGCTTTTTACTCTGCCTGGAAATTTCCTTCATTTCTGTCAGCTTTGGAGCCCTTGTGTGCTCAGGGCCTGGCAAACACCGGCAGGCAGAGAAGACAGTGCTGTTGTCTCTGCAGGATGCACATCAGTGTGTCTTTGCTTTGCTTGTCCCCTTCTCCTTCTCCTTCCCTTCCCTGCTGCAGATTGGTGGAAGACACAACTCAAGCGCATTTCTCGAGAAAGTGCCCTGGAGAAAGAGGCCACTGAAAGACAGGAAGAGGCTGTGACTCTTCGTCAGGAGGTGGCATCTCTGAAGAGGAAATTGGAGAACCTGGAGAAGGAAAGGAAGGATGTGCTGGTAAGATTGGCAGATGCCACAGAGGGCCAATTCCTAGCTATGTTTGGACCTTGTGGTGATAGTTCTAAGGAGCAGACTTTTTCAGTTAAACTTTTCTAACTGCATTCTTCTGAATAAGGAGGAGATGTTGTAGTCATGCCAAAGGCAGTTAATGCTGAAGCTGCTGATTTTCCTCCATGCTGGGCTTCTGTGCCCTAGAAGCTTTAGTTCTCAATCTCCACACTCTCTCTATGGCCATTGCATGGTTTGGGGAATTCCTTGTGTCCAAACCCATGTTCATATTTCTAAATATCTGAAAGGGAAGGTGAGAAGACCAAGACTGCTGTTAATAGAAAGGTGTTTGGCCTTGGCCATCTGAGAGCAGCCAGTGGGGAGAGAAGAGAGGAAAGCCGAGTGCTGATCCACACCAGGACGTGTGCCTGCAAGGGGAGAACTCGTCCTGAGTGGCAGCAGAGAATGACAGACTGATCTGGCCATTGCTGCTCCAAGAGAGGGCAGTGGGGCTCTCGGGGATGGGGCCATGGAAACTCTACACAGGAGAGGTGGAACAGCACTCCTGGCAGCCCAGCCCCAGGGAAGGAAATGCTGGGGGTGTTTGCTCTTGCCTTCCTCCCTGATGGAGAGCATGTCCTCGTGGCACTGCCTAAATCCTGCTTAGCATGGACTTGAAATCGTGGCTGCAGTTCTGGCAGCTCCTGCCCAAAGGAGCGCTGGAGTGGAGCTGCAAGAGGTCGGGGAAGGGCGGAAAGGAAGCTGGGACAGGCTGAGCGAGCTGGGCAAGAGCAGCATCAAGGGGGGAAGCAGCAAAGGTCTGCAGCATGCCGAGGGGCAGAGAGAGAGGGGCAGCCTGTGCCTGCCCCTGCAGCAGGGGTCCAGATCTGGTCTGAAAAGCAAACCGAGAGAGGGAGTGAGTGACCCTTTTTCTCCCTGTTTTGGCAGCATGAACGGGAATTGAACCAGCAGCAAATGAGAGATGTGAAAAGGAAGAATGAAATGTGTGCACCTGAGATGAGAAATCATAAAGAAAATACTCAAGAATTGGAAGTGGAGAGGGAAGACATGCAGGAAGAGTTGGAGCACGGGGCTGCTGCTTTGAAGAAAGGGAGGGAGTACACTCAAGTACTGACTGCTGCCCTGAACAAGAGTGAAATTGCCAAAGGGTCTCTGAAGAAGCACTTGGACATCCTGAAGGGAGAGTCTGGTATCCAGGGAGGCACTGGCATTGACCTTCAGTCCACTCCAGAGTCCCTGAGCTATTCCAGTGCTTCTTCCCATGAAGAGGTGGGTCTCTATCCCTGTCAGTCCAGGGCTGCGTGGGTAAAGCAGCCCGGGCTGCAGCAGGCAGCCTTGTCTGTCTGCCTGGCTCCAGCCAGAGACCACTGACTGCCAGATTGTTTCCTGGCTCGCCCAGAATGACTGATCCAGCTCTGGAGCTTGCTGTTCAAATCAGCTCCAGGCCATAAGCTGGGCATGGGGAGCTGCTTCTCCTGTGCCCATGCAACACATGGGGGTTTGGATTTGGTGTGGGAAGAAATGGAGCAGGTGAGCAGAGGAATGGGCAAAACTGAGCAGAGGTTTGGAGCAAGGGCTGAAAAGCAGCTACACTCCTGGTGCTCAGAGTAATTGGTATTGGCACTTGTGGAAGATGCAGTGGTTTTGGGTGACAACACGGAGGTTGGAGGAGGGATGTGTGTTGGGAAGGAGCTGTCTGGTCCCAGGCAGGGCAGCAGGGCCTGACACAGCACTTCCAAGGTAACAGTGCCAGAGGCTTTTGGCAGCCCAGGCTATCAGAGCTGCCCAGGACAGGTGCTGTGAAACTTTGAGCCCAGAGCACAGGTGCTCCGTGTCCTCTGGCTGCCTGCGAGGTGCCACTGGCTGGCTCTGCACAGGGCTCCTGAGGAAGGGCTCGAGCTGTACCTTGTCCCACTTGCAGCTCTCCCAGGAGCAAGATTCGTCGAGCTGGTCTCTGGAGCAGCTGAGCCAGGACTCCTCTGAGGAATCCTTTGGCCAAGGGCACGCACTGGCCCAGGTGTGCCGAGAGGAGGAGCTGCTGGCCCAGAAGGCTGACCTTGAGGGCCGACTGGCAGCCACGGAGTGGCTCCGACAAGACCTTTCCAGGCAGCTGGCAGAGACCAGGTAAGGGCAGGCAGCAGAGCCTTTTCAGATGCTTTTACAGTCCATGGACACAATATGGAAGCGTCTCAAGAACAAGAATATGCCACAATGTGAAGGTTATTCTGACACCTAAAGCCAGCAAAGCTCTCTCGAGCCTTGGGCTCCTGTTTGTGCCGCTGAGCACACTCCTGTGGGAAGCCCAGAGCAATCCACCCAGCCCTGAGCTGAGTAGTACTTAAACCATGCAGATGCTGAGTGAAACCACAAGTTTCTCTGGGGTTTGGTTCCTTGTTCTGGGCATTGAACACCCCTCGTTCCTTACCAAGTAGCTTGATATGATCCTGATGGTCAGGACTGAAGCTTCGCCTTCAGCATTCCAGGCTCTTTCCTTGGCACGTTGGGAGTAGCAGGCTGCCATTCAGGGGGAAGCCAGAGGCTCCTGCTGAAAACCCTGGGGGCTTTCAGCTTCCAAGCACACGCTTGAGAAATGTGGGACAGGCCCTAGAGCTGGTTAGAGCGCAGCAGGGAAAGCTCTTTGGAATTCTCAACAGCCTGGCTGATTGTTGATGGGCACCCAGCTGCCAAACCTGCCAAGGTCCCTTTGGATGGTCCCTCTCACTCTGTAAAGAAGGACAAGTCCCTTGGGCTACTGCCTGCTTGGCCAGCAACACTAAAATAAAGGTGGCAAGTCTGCTCCATGACCTTGCAAGAGTTTAAACTGCAGTCTCTGCATTCAGGTGCTTGTTGTTCAGACAAAAGGGTGTTGTGATTTTTTACAAGTGCTGCTATGACCATGAGAATTTACTGTGCCATGCAAAGTCATTCTGAAGTCTCCTAAATACAGGGTGTCTGGAAGATGATGTACCTTTGTGTCCATTATCAAAAGCATTAAAAAGTCAGCAGTCAGCCAGGACAAGAGTGTGTTGTGTCCCCCTGCAGAGCAGCTTGGAAGTGCTGATGAGAGAAGGGCTGTGAGCAGGGGCTGGGCTTTTGCTCGTCGCTCCAGCCTGTTTGGACACAGCTACCCCGTGTCCTAGGTCAGGATCAGCAACTGAAGGTTTGGCTGTTGAGGCCAAGTTGGGCTGGGCTGTCTGTGCTATGCCAGGCCATAGGGAAGGCCTGGGCAGTCACTCTGAGGGCCCGGCTCTGCTGTTGACATGGCACAAATGTGCCTTGTCTGGGCGAGTTTCCACGTCACTCATTTCCCATACTCAGGTGTGAGGATCTTGAGCCTCATTGTCCTGGAATAACCGGCTGTGGGAGTCTGGGGCAAGCAACTCATGTCTCTCTGTGTGTGCAACTTGTAGGTCAGCAAAGGAGAGCCTGGAATCCAGGCTGTGTGCTGCTCAGCAGCAGATATCTCAGCTGGAGGTGACCAGGGAACATCTGAAGGCAGAGCTGCAAGCTGAGCTGCAGGCAGCTCGCAGTGAAGTCCAGACAGCGCAGAGGAGGCACGAGGAAGAGCTACAAGGCCTCAAAGAGGAAATGAATCTCCTCCTTGAGCAGAGGGAGGCTCTACAAAAGCAGGTGAGTGAAACAGCAGTGGCACTGCAGCCGTGCAGGGAGGGGTCTGTGGCCTTCTTGCTTTTCCATGGCAGAGCAGCAGCTGATGGGGTGATCCCTGGGGCTGTCTCAGGCTCTGGGGGCTCCATGGCAGCTGCTCTTCAGGACGCCCAAAGCTCTGCTGAATCTCAGCTGCTGCTCTGGACAGCTGGGCTAGTCCTCTGGGCTGTTGGCCAGCAAGCATCAGCAAGGATTCCTGCTGGCCTCTCCTTGCTAGCCTTGGTGTGGGAGGTGCTTTTTCAGGTGCCCTTGGTGGTGGGCCACTTGGAGACTGCAACAAGTTGTCCATATCCAGTGTGAATCTGGTGCTCTCAGGACAGGGAGAAATGGAAAGTTGTCCTTTGCCTTTGCTCACAGCCTGTGCTGTGGCTGACAGTGACAAGCTGTGTCTGTAGCCTCTGACTGCTTTGTTCTGTTTGACTGGAGGTGGGAGAGTTGACATCTCAGCTGGCAGCCTCCCGAGAGTCCCAGGAAATGACTGTCCAGAGAGCCCAGCAAGATGTGAGGGAGGCCCAGGAAGAGTCCAGGCAGAAGCAGTTGGAGGTTGAGCACACCCAGAAGAAGCTGGAGGAGGCAAAACAACAGAACAAGGAGCTGCAAGTGCATCTGCAGAACTTGGAGAGGAAATGGAGTGGATGGGAAGAAGTGGCTCAGCACAATTCAGAATTGCAGGCTTCTGTGCATACTCTAGAGAAGGAAAAAGCCAGGTAAATGAAAGCCTGTGGGACTCTGCATTGTGGTGAATGGATTCCCTCTTTGCCATCCTTGCACCTGCCAGGGCCTCTGGCAGCATTTCTTAAGTGGCAGATTCTGAACTCTGGGTGCAGACACTTCTCATGGTCTGGATGTGTCATGGTTTGACGCCCCATGAAAATGCAACCTACCAATCAAATGCTGTGAAATGCGATTGAGAGCAGAGCAAAGCAGGCCAAACTTAATAACAAAGGAAAGACTTTATTACACTACTGCTAATAATATAAAGGGGAAGAAAAAGAAAAAAAACCACACAAACTTCAAAATGAAAACCTTCCAAAACACTCCTCCTCCCACCACCCAACTCCAACAAACCACAGCGAGACCCATTTAGATCCTTAATCCAGTTTTCACCCTTCAATATAATCAATACTGAATCCATCGGGGAAGAGAGGAGTCCCCCTTGCACCACAGACCCCCAGGAAACACAGCTGCCACCTCTTGTGTTTCCATGTCACACGTGGCACTGCCCAGACCCACCGGCCAGTGCGACACTCTCCTCTCCATGTCACAGTGCTCTCACCACCGTGCATGGACAGAGACTGCTTATAGGGCCCCTTTAAGGATGCTTTGCCAAGGACCACCAGGAACAACAGTCCAGTATCGCATTTCGGGACTAGAGTCCCCCCCATTTTCCCCTGGGGCCGAGGGTCCAAGGACAGAGATCGCCTTCTCTTCTTCTCTGAAGACGGAGGGCATCCTCACACCCTCCTCAGCTCTCTCTGTCCATTCCAGAACTGGTAGTTGCTGAAGAAGTTCTCTTGGCTCACCAGTGCATCCCCCTAAAATGCAGTCCCTCTTGAAAGAAGGAGTGGTTCAGTCTATGGTAAACAAGCAGAGTCCAGCCAAAAGGCACTCCATCATCTCCCCCCAACCTTCTTCTCTGAACATCTGAGGTCCCAGGCTGTCTCTCTTTTCTTCAAATTGAGGAGGAGTAATATTTCATAAAGCCTTCATTTCCCAGGAAAGGGTTAAAATTCCTGGACTCCCCGGATGGCTGAAATCTCAGCCCAGGACTCCTTCTCCTGTCTCCCACGCTGGGCATCTTCCCCCCCTTCTCCTTCTCCTCTGTCGGCAAACTCCCAGGTGTCTGCTGGCTCTCTATCTCTTTTCCCTCTAGCTTAGGGGAGGGGGAACAAAGACATCCCAGATGTTCTCCACCCTTCCGTCCGCAGGAGCTGGCCCAGCTCGGTTCCGATCCTTCACCCCCTGGCCTACCTCTGCAGGCCGCATGGCTCCCCTCCCCCAGCCAGCCTGGGCTGGGGAGAGGTCCGTACCTTGCGATGACCGGAACCAAAGGAGAGTGAGTCCTCCTGGGAATTCCGCCTTTAACCCCTCTGTGTTCTCAGAGGCGTGTCCACCTTCAATTGGTCACCCCAAGTGTCAGTATCCAAACCTGACCCCTGACTGTGACCTCTTCCTTCCAAAAAAAAAATTCTCTTCCCGTGTCAAACCATGACAGGATGTTGTCTTTCATTTTCTTTCCTTTTAAGCCTTCAGCTAGAGTTTTTCTGCAGTCAAAGTCTTTTGGGGTAGTCCTTTGCCTCTAGGGGGTATTGTGTTGTTAGGTGGGTGTGTTGAAGCTGCCCGAGCTGCATTGTAAGGAGCTGGATCCATCCATCAGCCCCACCTTGGGTCTTGTACCTTGAAGCCTTTGGGATGTGGATCAGCCTGGCTTCTGATGCTCTTTCTGGGCAGAACCATCTTAAGGCCCTGCTTGCTGATCTAGGCCAGATTGCCCTCAGAGGCAGCCCAGAAACAAGAATGGCTCTGTGGCATCGTTCCTCATAAAATGTGTCCTGGGGCCTGGAGGGGGTCAAGCAGGCTCCCTGCCACCCTGCACAGTCACAGGCATTACTGACTGTGCAAAGAATGCAGAAACAGGACCAGGGGATGGGGGGCTCCTCCAGCTGATCGAGTCCTGCCAGTCTTCAGTGCCACAGGATTCTTCTTCCAAACCAAAGACAAAGGAGAGGCAGGGCACTCCTGCTTGCCTGGAGCCTTCTGCATCTGCCATCAGGTTTTTTGCTCCAAGCCTTGGCTGCCACTTGGGCCTCTGTTTCTCCAGCTGAAAGTAGGATGGGTGCTGGTAAACCTTAGGGAACTCGCCAGAGATCCCCTGGCTGTAGGCTGCTGCTCCTCCTACCGGGACGTAGAAGACTGGGGAAGGAAATGTCTCTTCCATGTTGACCAAACCTCCCTGCCTTGGAGCCTGGTTAGTCAGAAGAAAATTGTTCCTCTCCTCTAAAGTCTTCATTGCAAGACTTCATTAGCTTTGTATTCACATTCCCATCTCAAAAAGAAGGTAGGGCATGTAGGCAGGACTCCCTGTTCTTTCAGGAGCAAAAGCAGAGTCGGCACATGTTGGGCTGTGACTGCAGGGGGAACAAACAGCCAAGTTGTTTAGACAAACCTCATCAGACAGAGGAGTTTTTCCCTGAGGTGCTGCAAGTCCTAAGAGCTTATAGAATGTGATATCATATAGTAATGAGTTGCTTGCTTCCCTTCTAGGCTGCTTGTGTCTCTGGAGGAGAAGAACCAGTGCTTCCGAAAACTGGAAGAACAGAACCTGGTGCTGAAAAATCGTGTGTCTCGCTTATTTTCTGCTCTTAAGCAGGCAGAGCAGCTCTGTTCTGAGCATAGGAGACAAATGCAGGAGCTCAACACCCAGGTAAGCTGTGCAGTGGCATCCTCTTCTCCAGGGACACACAGCAGCACCTTTGGCTTGGAGGCCCCAACCTCTTTCCCCTCCCGGCAGCATCCACAGCTGCCGTGTTCTGCCCGGGGCTGCTGCGGCACCCTGAGGCCCAGGCTGGATCTGGTGTCTGCTCCCGAAGTTTTGCACCGTTCTCTCCCGGCTCCCAGCAGGAAATCTGGGAGAGGAAGCAGCAGCAGCCTCCTCTGGAGCTTCTCCGTCCCTCTGTTAGCAGTGTTGTCCCAGACAGAGTTGGTGCCTGTGCCAGCACTGAGCAATGTGGGGACACAGAGGTGGCTGTGGCAGGCTGGGCAGGGCACTTCCAGCGCAGCCATCTCAGCTGCTGTTCAGAGCTGCGGCCTCAAGGATGCCCATTGCCTCCCTTTCCCTCTTTTCTCTACATTTGTCTCCATTGGAACCCTTGCTTCTGTGCCTTCTGGTTTTGGCATGGTTTTTGCCTGAAATAATTTCTCCTTTGTTCCTCTCCCTACTGTGCACTCTGCGGCCTCAGGAGCAGCCCTGTCCCTGAGGCTCTGTGCATCCTTCTTCCAGATGCAGGCCATGCTGCTGGCAGAGATAGAGAAGACAGCTCGCCAGGCAACTGAAGAGAAGCAGCTGCTGGAAACTGAGGTGTCTGAGCTGCGTGTGAGGCTCCAGAGCTCTGAGGAAAGAGCAGAGGCCATGGCCACACAGTGTAAGGCCATGGAGCTGGGGCTGAGGAAGACACAGGCTCAGAGGGACAATCTCAGAGCCTACAATCAGGAGCTGCTGAAACAGCTGGAGCACATTGAGCAAGGTACAGCTTCTCCTCCCCCAGCCACTGCCCCACGCTGTCCCACCTGCAAGGATCTTGCTGATGCCTCGCAGAGGAAAAGTGCCCAGAGATGGCAAAGGGGAAAAACAGCCAGCAGGAAATTTATCCCTCCAAGTGCCAGTGAAAGCTTTTTTCTTGAGAAAGATGCTGTGGCTTGCAGAGCCATCTGGCTGTGCTAGGGCTGATCCTGGGCTGGAGCCTTTCAGGTGCCGTGTACCTGTTAAGGAGCTGCAGCTGGATGCCTCAGCTTGATTCCCCCAAATTCCAGGCCCTGCCAGAGCCTCCAGGCCATTGGCCTCTCTGAGCAGGGCTGCACAGGCATCCCCTCTCCTTTGTCCCTCTTGGATTGCTCCCTCTGCACAAGACCAAGAGCAAACACTCTTTCCTAGCCCTCTGAACCTTGCCCCTTTCATTCCTGCTTTTTACTCTGCCTGGAAATTTCCTTCATTTCTGTCAGCTTTGGAGCCCTTGTGTGCTCAGGGCCTGGCAAACACCGGCAGGCAGAGAAGACAGTGCTGTTGTCTCTGCAGGATGCACATCAGTGTGTCTTTGCTTTGCTTGTCCCCTTCTCCTTCTCCTTCCCTTCCCTGCTGCAGATTGGTGGAAGACACAACTCAAGCGCATTTCTCGAGAAAATGCCCTGGAGAAAGAGGCCACTGAAAGACAGGAAGAGGCTGTGACTCTTCGTCAGGAGGTGGCATCTCTGAAGAGGAAATTGGAGAACCTGGAGAAGGAAAGGAAGGATGTGCTGGTAAGATTGGCAGATGCCACAGAGGGCCAATTCCTAGCTATGTTTGGACCTTGTGGTGATAGTTCTAAGGAGCAGAGTTTTTCAGTTAAACTTTTCTAACTGCATTCTTCTGAATAAGGAGGAGATGTTGTAGTCATGCCAAAGGCAGTTAATGCTGAAGCTGCTGATTTTCCTCCATGCTGGGCTTCTGTGCCCTAGAAGCTTTAGTTCTCAATCTCCACACTCTCTCTATGGCCATTGCATGGTTTGGGGAATTCCTTGTGTCCAAACCCATGTTCATATTTCTAAATATCTGAAAGGGAAGGTGAGAAGACCAAGACTGCTGTTAATAGAAAGGTGTTTGGCCTTGGCCATCTGAGAGCAGCCAGTGGGGAGAGAAGAGAGGAAAGCCGAGTGCTGATCCACACCAGGACGTGTGCCTGCAAGGGGAGAACTCGTCCTGAGTGGCAGCAGAGAATGACAGACTGATCTGGCCATTGCTGCTCCAAGAGAGGGCAGTGGGGCTCTCGGGGTTGGGGCCATGGAAGCTCTACACAGGAGAGGTGGAACAGCACTCCTGGCAGCCCAGCCCCAGGGAAGGAAATGCTGGGGGTGTTTGCTCTTGCCTTCCTCCCTGATGGAGAGCATGTCCTCGTGGCACTGCCTAAATCCTGCTTAGCATGGACTTGAAATCGTGGCTGCAGTTCTGGCAGCTCCTGCCCAAAGGAGCGCTGGAGTGGAGCTGCAAGAGGTCGGGGAAGGGCGGAAAGGAAGCTGGGACAGGCTGAGCGAGCTGGGCAAGAGCAGCATCAAGGGGGGAAGCAGCAAAGGTCTGCAGCATGCCGAGGGGCAGAGAGAGAGGGGCAGCCTGTGCATGTTTGCTGACAGGTTTCTGTGACCCTCTCTCCCATCCAATGTGCAGGTGGAACCTGAAAGGAGAAGAATCAGAACTTTTAGGAGAGTGTTCCTCCCAGACTACATTACGTTTCCTGTCCACGAGTCTGCCCATCAAAATCGGTCAACTTTTGAAATGGAAGAGTCCTCCAGCAGCTATGGGGAGCAGCAGCCCTCCTGCTGATGCACAGCCTGTGGAGAAAGGGGTCAGTGGCCCAAATATGTGCTTTGGAAATCAGATTTGGGTTCCTAAATCCCCTCAGAACTCTCTCTAACTGACCTGTGGTGGCTGAGGGATGTACGTGGGAAGGCTTTACCGGCCTTGAACTGGACTTGTTGATCATCTGAGCTCTGTTCTGTCTGGGAGCCTGTTCCTTTCCCCTTGCCCCAGGGCCCAGTGTTGGTGAGGGCTGGAGCTGGAGGCTGTGTCTGCCCCGGGAGCGGGTACCGTGGGGCTGCAGGTGCTCCTGCCAGCCTGGGCTTGTCTGAGCCGGGCCTTGTGCCTCTTTCAGGTGTCCCTCTGCAGGCACAGCTGGCCCAAGACCGACAGGACCACCTGGAGAGCTGTGCAGGCAGCAGGCAGGAGACACGAGGTGCAGAAAGGACCTCCTTGCTTCCTGAATGTCTCAGAGGAGGCAGGCTGCAGCTGGATGCAGGCTTAGATTTAGTCAGTAGTTTATCTTTAAACAATAGCATAGATGCAGTTGAACCTTTACACAACTCTGTTCCATAGGATGTAAGATATATTTATAGAAAAATAAAGAGTTTATTATGATTATGATTAAACTAATAGATCTTTCTCTGGGTTATTTACTACTCAGTACAGGGAACTATAACTTCCAGTATAGTGCATTATCTTTTGAAGCAACATTGCAGCAATTCTAGTCAAGCCAGCAAAACCAATTCTTAAAGATTGATGCTACTCACCCAAACCAATGACCACGGGCAAACATTTCTCTCAGCCTCAAGGCATGACCTTGAGAGGCATCCTCACTCCAGGGAGGAATCTGCAGAAAGGAGACATGTGACATGAACCACTTTGGTGAGAGCAGGAGAAACCTGCCATGCATGGAGCTTTTTCATTTGTCCTTAGGAAACTGTTTATTCCCAGAGTTGTTGCCTTTATAAAGGACAACCAGAGACCTGGTTCAGGGAACAGCACGGCAGCCTGGTCCCTCCAGGCTGCTCGGGCTAGTCAACACACGCAAACACCAATATGGCAGACGGTTGAAAAGCGTTTATTATCCTGTCTCGTGGGTTTAAATAGTTTTAGGGGTTTTTGCTACGTCAGAGGGGGGTTGGGGGTCTCAGGGGTTAGTCGGGTAATGGAAATTTACCAGAGCAGGTGTGGCTACATTCTTCTGAGGTTTCTGGGGTTAATAGGTAAGTGGGGAAGAGAGAGGGGGAGGGGTCTATCTTTCCGTCACATCCCGTGGTCTTCCGCTTCGCCTGTCCCTTACCTACCACATCTCCCCCCTCCTTATCGCATACAAAATGAGGTAGTCATAGGTATAGGCACTGGAGTGAGGTACAAACTTGCAACTTGTTAAGGAAAGGGTGGTTTAGTAGATCTGGGTAGATTTTTTAAAACTACTTCTGAAAGCGAAGAGACTGATTTCTCTAGGTAGGAGGTGGATTTCTCGATCCTCTGCAGGTCCTCGTCGATGGTCATTTGCAGCTGAGAGAGTCCGTGCTGTTGGGTTGCGATGGCTGAGACACCTGTGGCTGTGCTAGCTGCTCTTAGGCTAAGCAGCATTGTGATGGTTAATTTCCTTTTTGTGGAGTCTGTCAGGTTCCTCGAGAAGGTGGTATGTCTCTTCGTCTGAGTGATGTAGGACCTTAGAAACAATCAGAACTTGAATACAGAAATCGATAGAGTTATTAAACTTGGCAAGGAACATATAAGGATTCACTCTGGGTTTCTGGCAAACTTACATCTCAAATGTGGATGGGACTACTTACTTATTGGTCTTCTGTGGGGAGTGTCCCACTTGCACTGGTGGGGGACACTGGCTGTGGAGTAACTGAAGGGGGTATTTAAAGCAATGCTTTCGTAGAAAAGGGGGTTTAACATCATAGCAAAATTAATAGGGGTTAGTTAGGTTTGATTTGGTTTCATTTAGGGTTAGTAAAATAGCTTCTAAACAGGCTGGCTATGTGGAACACGAAGGATGGGGTATTTATTATGGTGACTTTTTTGAGCACTTTGTTACTTGATAGATGCTGCACGACCCACCTAAATAGCTGATGAGGGTAGTGGCCTGGGCCAGCTTGTTCCCCTGGCCACAAGCCTCTAAACAGCAAAATTGCATGAAGAAAGACACTGTGCATGTTTGGATCTCACCACCGTGGGATTCTCAGGTGTTGTCTGGCAGTTTGGTGGTCTGTCATCTCCTTCTGGAGCAGGGGTGTATGTGTCATGGGGATGGTTTACCAGCGTGTCCTGTAAACAAGACTCACAGTTTCTCATTAGTTTTGTTTTGAGGGTCAGGTTTGGCTGGCAGCAGTGGGTGTGCAGCAGTGGCTCTCATAGTCTCACCACGTGGGGGTCCTGACTGCCACAGAGGCGGCACGTCTTCCACACATCCCCGGGGGCTTTCTCCCCACTTTCATGGCTAGGGCTACCCAGGGGTCCCGTATCGGGGCATTCCCTGCTGGCCCAGGGTAGAGGCGCTGCTATTTGCGGTGGGAGGAGGCTGGGTTCGCCCGCGCGCTCCCCCCCCCCCCCCCCCCGTTCCGTGTTTTTCGGGGGCTGGGACCCGCATTCCTTGGCGAGATGCTCTTTTTTCCCGCAGCTCCAAGGGGTATTGTGACTGTTTTTCGGTGCGGCTTAGAACTCTATTCGGTTCTGTTTTGAATCGCGATGGCTTTGTTCTCTCCGTTTCAGGGTCCCGGCCGGCCTCTGCCGGCTCGGAGGAGCCGGCAGACCGGTCGCCAGGCTCCGCGCCGGAAGTCAAATGCCAGAGCACTTCCGGGGCTCCGCGCCGTTTTGTTCGGCCCCGAGCTCGCTTCTCCCCGCGGGGGTGGCGCCGCTCCCGCCCCCCCGGCTCGCCGCGCCTCCCGCGGGGGGTGGTTTCTCCCTTATATGGTGGCGGCGCCCGGCGCGGCCGCTGATTGGCTCCGCGCTCTCTGCCGCTCTCCGCCCCTTTCTCCCGCGCGCGCGCATTCCCGAGATCGCGCGCTGTCCGAGTTTTCGCGCCGAGACTACTAGTGCTCCGCCCCCCTCCGCGGCACCCGGCGCCATTTTCAAAGCGGCAGCATGGCCACGCTGCCGGGGATTTTTCCCGAGCTGCGGCTTCCGCGATTTTGGCTTCTCCTGCCAGCTCCTGCCAGAAGCGCTCCGCGCGCAGCTGCGCCTCTGACAGCGGATCCCTGATCGGCGGCGGCGGCGGGACGGATTGGGAAGCCGCGGCTTTTCGGGGTTTTTTTGCGGCGGGGGTTTCCCGGGGGTTTTCCGCGGCGGGGGTGTCTCGGGGGGCTGCCGCGGCGGGGTTTGGCGCCACTCCGCTCGGCGCGCCGGCGGGGAAGCGGCGCGGGGCCGCGGGCGCGTCCGGGTCCCGGCGGGAGCAAGGCCGCGCCGCTCGGAACGCGCCGCTCCGGGCTCCGGCGGCAGCGGTCCTCTGTGCCGGGCTGGGCTCCGTTCCGCGGCGGGGCCGGGCTGGGCTCTGATCCGGGGAAGGGGTTGTCGCGCTGAGCCCCCCCGGGTCTCCGCTCCCGGGTGGACCCTCCTCAGGGACGGTCTGCGCTTTCGCCCCCGTCCCGAGCTCGGCTCTAACTAATAAACACGTACGCGCTGTATTCTGCATCTCCTGTTTTTCTATTGCCTTGCGCGGGGTTTTTTCTACCTTGCCCCGTGCCGTAACGCTCTCGCCACTGCCTGAGGATTTCGCCTCCCCGGCTAGCGTGGCTGTACACTGTTCCCATATTCCCGGATGCATGGCATCCACTGAGCATTCGGTTGCTCCAAACTCAGGCAGCCTTGCTATAGCAAGATAAAAGTCCCTGAGCTTAAACTCGATACTCCATTGCTTCATACTCACGACCCATGCGACGCTGCCCATGACGCTCGCGGGCCCCGGGGACGTCTCCCCTCCGCCTAGATACGGTCTGACCGTTCCGGCCGCTGCTCCTGTCCAGGTGTATCCCGTCCGCCGGGGGAATTTTTCCTTTTTTTCTTCTTTTTTCCCGGGTTTTCGGCACCAGTATGTTGCCTTTATAAAGGACAACCAGAGACCTGGTTCAGGGAACAGCACGGCAGCCTGGTCCCTCCAGTCTGCTCGGGCTAGTCAACACACGCAAACACCAATATGGCAGATGGTTGAAAAGCGTTTATTATCCTATCTCGTGGGTTTAAATAGTTTTAGGGGTTTTTGCTACGTCAGAGGGGGGTTGGGGGTCTCAGGGGTTAGTCGGGTAGTGGAAATTTACCAGGGCAGGTGTGGCTACATTCTTCTGAGGTTTCTGGGGTTAATAGGTAAGTGGGGAAGAGAGAGGGGGAGGGGTCTATCTTTCCGTCACATCCCGTGATCTTCCGCTCGCCTGTCCCTTACCTACCACACAGAGTCCCAGAATCTGGGGCTGGGGGAGGCTGGAGGCACCTCTGCAGGTCACCTTGCCCAGCCCCTGCTCCATCAGGGCCACCCAGAGCCGGCTGCCCAGGACGCGTCCAGGTGGCTTTTGAGTCTCTCCAGGGATGGAGACTCCACCACCTCCCTGGGCACCTGCACCAGTGCTCAGCCACCCTCCCAGTGCAGAAGTGTCTCCTGAGCTCGGAGGGCCCCTCCTGTGTGTCACCTGGTGTCCGAGGCCCGTGGGGCTGTCCCTGGCTCTGTCCCCTCTGCAGCCTCCCCCCGGGTGTTTATCCCCAGGGATGAGATGCCCTGAGCCTGCTCTGCTCCAGGCTGGGCAGTGCCAGCTCTCTCAGCCTCTCCTCACGGCAGAGATGCTCCAGTCCCTCCATCATCTTCATGGCCCTGAGCTGGACTCTGTCCAGTCTGTCCCTGTCTCCTGTACTGGGCAGCCCAGCTCTGGGCCCAGCACTCCAGGGCTGGCCTCACTGGTGTGGAGCAGAGGGAAAGGATCCCCTCCCTCCACCAGCTGTGTCACAGCTGCCAGTGCAGCCCAGGACGCTGTTCTGCATTGCTGCAGGAGCGCATTGCTGGCCCGTGGGCATCCTGGTGTCCAGCAGGACCCTGCCAAACTTCAGTTTTTCAACTGGGTGGCCCCCAGCAGATACCAGTGCCTGTGCCTGTTCCTTCCCAAGGACACGGCTCAGCACTTGCCATTGAACTGTCACCCTTGTTGAACTGTCCCTCTGGATGGCAGCACTTCTCTCTGGCAGCTCAGCCACTGCTCCCAGTTTGTGGGAGGGCACACCCTGGCCCCATCACCCAGTTTACTAACAAAGGTGTCAGAAAGGACTGGGCTCAGCATTGTCCTCCAGGCTCCACCGCTAGACTTTGTGCCACTGATCACCAGGGTTCCAAGAAGGTAGATTCTGTGCAAGGTGTCTTTGCTTGTATGTACAAATTCAGAAAGAATTGGCAGGATTTATAACAGGGATTTCTGTTCCATATCTTATGTGGGAAAAAATGTAATGATCCATGCTCGCTCTCACTGGCAGTGGGTAAAGGAAAAGTGGTCCTGTGGTTGGTGACAGTGGATGTCACCTGCACAGGAACTGTGCCAGACTGGTGTGACATACTGTGGGAGGGAGCCCTCTGAGGAAGGTAAAAGCTGGGCTGTAGAGATCATGCAAAGACTATTCTTCAAAGCATAGAA